CATATTTTGTAAAAAGGAACTAACACATTTTTAAAAAAACTCTGTGACCCCGGACCTGTCAAAATAGTTCAAAAATCTGACAATTTTCAAAAAAAATTTTGCTCGAAACACCTTCTAATGCGTCAAAAAACCCTCCAAAACAATAATAAAAGTGTTTTCGATGAATTTCTAGGTCATATTTCGAAAAAACCAACTAAGTCATTTTTCAAAAAATCTCTGGCCCGGACATGCAAGAAAAGTTCAAAAATCTGACAATTTTCAAAACATTTTTTTCCTCGAAACACCTTCCAATGCATGAAAATACCCTCCTAGCAAAAAAAGAAGTGTTTTCAATGTATTTCTAGGTCATATTTGGAAAAAACCAACTAAGTCATTTTTCAAAAAAAATTCTGACTCAGGACCTGTAAAAGTTTTTAAAGATTTGAAAAAGTTGCAAAAAAGGTACTTCGCTTTAAAATACAAAAACTAATAAATACCTTTCTGTAGCCTTCTCAAGACATTTCTGTTAGCTTCCAAGTGATATCTGAAGAAAAATTCGTGAAAATTGAAACACTATGACCTGCAAAAAGATTCGAAAATCCCAAAGATTGATAAAAATAAATTTTCTCTCCAAACATTCTGATTAGCCATATGTCCTAAACAACACTAAAACTATTCTAGACAGTTTTTCTAGCAAATATTTAAAAAAAAGAAACGCATACATTTTTAAAAAACTCTGTGACCCCAGACCTGTCAAAAAAGTTGAAAAATCTGAAAATTTTGCAAAAATTATTTTTCTTGAAATGCCTTGAAATGCATGAAAATATGTTCCGAACACCATAAGAAATATTTTTGATGAATTTCTAAGTCATATTTGGAAAAAATTAGCAAAGTCCTTTTTCAAAAAAACCGTGACCCAGGACATATAAAAAAAGTTCAAAAATCTGAAAATTTTGCAAAAAATATTTTTCTTGAAATTCCTTGAAATGGATGAAAATATGTTCCAAACACCATTAGAAATATTTTTGAAAAATCTGAAAGTTTAAAAAATAATTTTTGTTTGAAACGCTTAGAAATGGGTGAAAATATGTTCCGAACACCATTAGAAATATTTTTGAAAAATCTGAAAGTTTAAAAAATAATTTTTGTTTGAAACGCTTAGAAATGGGTGAAAATATGTTCCGAACACCATTAGAAATATTTTTGAAAAATCTGAAAGTTTAAAAAATAATTTTTGTTTGAAACGCTTAGAAATGGGTGAAAATATGTTCCGAACACCATTAGAAATATTTTTGAAAAATCTGAAAGTTTAAAAAATAATTTTTGTTTGAAACGCTTAGAAATGGGTGAAAATATGTTCCGAACACCATTAGAAATATTTTTGATGAATTTCTAGGTCATATTTCGAAAAAATTAGCTGTCATTTTTCAAAAAATCTGTGACAAAAGATCGGTCAAAAATGTTCTAAAATCTGAAAATTTTGTAAAAAAATTTTTTTTTCTTGAACGCCTTGAAATGCACTAAAATATGTTCCGAACACCATTAGAAATGTTTTTGATGAAATTGTAGATCGTATTTCGTAATAAGGATTTAAGTCATTTTTCCAAAAATCTCAGGTCCCAGACCTGTCAAAAAAGTATAAAAATCTTAAAATTTTGAGAAAAGGTTTTTTCTTTCAAAACACCTTCTAATGCGTGAAAATACGATCTAAACACCATTAGAAATGTTTTTGATGAATTTCTAGGTCATGTTTCGAAAAAATGAGCAAAGTCAACATATAAAAAAAGATCAAAAATCTTAGAATTTTGCAAAAATGTTTTTTGTTTGAAACGCTTTGAAATGGGCGAAAATATGTTCCGAACACCATTAGAAATGTTTTTGATGAAATTCTAGATCGTATTTCGAAAAAATGAGCAAAGTCATTTTTCAAAAAATCTGTGACCCAGGACATATAAAAAAGACCAAAAATCTGAAAATTTTGCAAAAATGTTTTTTGTTTGAAACGCATTGAAGTGGATGAAAATATGTTCCGAACACCATTAGAAATGTTTTTGATGAATTTCTAAGTCATATTTGGAAAAATTGAGCAAAGTCATTTATAAAAAATCTGTGACCCAGGACATATCAAAAAAGTTCAAAAATCTGAAAATTATGAAAAAAATTTTTTTTTCTTGAAACGCCTTGAAATGCATGAAATTATGTTCCGAACGCCATTAGAAATGGTTTTGATGAAATGCTAGATCATATTTCGTAATAAGGATTTAAGTCATTTTTCAAAAAATCTCTGGTCCCACCCTTTCAAAAAAGTATAAAAATCTGAAAATTATGAAAATTTTTTTGTTTCTTGAAACGCTTTGAAATGCATGCAAATATGTTCCGAACGCCATTAGAAATTCTTTCGATGAAATTCTAGATCATATTTCGTAATAAGGAATTAAGTCATTTTTCAAAAAATCTCTGGTCCCAGACCTGTCAAAAAAGTATAAAAATCTGAAATTTATGAAAATTTTTTTTGTTGAAACGTTTTTAAATGCATGAAAATATGTTTCGAATACCATTAAAAAAGTTTTTGATGAAATTCCAAGTTATATTTGAAACAATTAACTGTCATTTTTCAAAAATTCTGTGACCCAGGCCGGATCTGTCAAAAAATTTCAAAAATCTGAAAATTTTGAAATTTTGTTTACTTGAAAATACGGGAAATAGCCTTTAAATTAGCTGGAAAATTTTTAGAGCACTTTGGAAAATTATACTGATAACTATACAAAAGCAATTTTGCATAGATTTACCAAAGAAATCAAAATGTGAAAGATGCTGTACTATTAAGGGGTTGTTGTACCTCGTTTATCCTTGGAAGTGTGGTTTATCACACGCCTTATGAGTTACCACCTTTATAGTAAACATTCTTGGGCCCAGTTTAAACTAAAACGTTTTCATTTCATATCGTACTTAGTTTCATTTCATATAGTTTCCCAATATGACACAAAATTTTTACCGGTCTACTTGTTACTGTTTTCATTTCATAGAGTGGTTACTTCAATAGGCAGAGGACATATTTGTCATTTTTATAATATAAAAGCATACCCTAAAATCTCCCAAACACCTTTCCTCAAAATTTAGATACCATATGAAATGCATACTCTTAAATTTAATTCAAATTTGAGATTAATATGTAATGCCCATAATTGAGAAAAACTCCAACAACTCAATCAAGTAAACGAAACATGCTGGTTACAGTCAAAGCAAATTAGACCCAAATATGCAAAACTATTCCATCAAATGTTGACCCAAAAAGCCCCGTTTACATTGTCTTAGTTTTGTGGCAAGCGGTGCTTGTCTTTTTAGTATGGTTTTTAAATAAGACACAAATATCAACCATGGCGAACCATAGAAATGGATGTAACACTTAAGATGGTAGGAAATCAGAATATATTTAGAAATCTTTTCCAACCAGCCCAAGATCACGCTGGCAATGTTTGTTTCGTGTCACTGGTAGTCTGTATCATGTTATTTTTGGAGTAGACAAATTATAAGCATAACCTATTTTCTTGTTACAGTTACATAAGAAAAAGAAAAAAACGGATCCGTTGGTAGAAAACATTTCCCGTGTAAAAATCAGTTTTTGCCTTGCGAAAAGATCCTATTTCGTGGTTGGGGGGATGAACCATACCCTCTCCCCCCCATACCCTTCTCAAGTGACGCCCCTGCTCAGGGGGGCTAAGCCTTGATTGGCAAATTTCTACTTTTGCAATTGTTTTTCTCATTATTCCGTGCAAGAGCCCCCCCTCTTGTTATTTTGATAGCACTACACCATTGGTCATCTACCCTTATGTTGGAAATGAACCGATTGATCAGTGAAATAACCGAGCTAAAGATATAAAAGATATGCAGTACAAAATAATGTACACTTCGAGCGAAAGCAAACGAAACTAATCTTTGCTTCTAGCAAAATTATAAGTGCTCAGTATGGGGCTTATTCCTTTTTAAAATGGCTGCCAACAAAAAATTTGGAAAATTCTCTTTTATGAACATGGCAAAACAGGCAACTGCTGACAAGTACGAAGGAAATATGCGAGGCGAGACTGGGCAATATTTTTATTACATTCTTAAAATTTAGAGGATTCTGAACCTGAATATTCTCACCAAAAAGAGTGTAATTAAAGACTTATAATATCCTTTATCTTAAACAAATTATTATTTAGCAAATATAGCTTTGTCTTCAATCTCGAAAACATCACCATTCCAATGTCATTCTTTTCAAAACTCATTTGCCTATGGTTAAAAGCAATGTCACGACGTTGATTGATCATAAGAACAAAACGATTTTTTATTGTTTCCAGTCCCCCTATAATTTATCGCATTGTAATTTATATGGCGGAGCGCTGGAATCGTGTTTAGGCTATTGTTCCAGCTATTGTTCTCATTAACCAATCCACAACGAGACAGATTGCCTTTAACAACCTATATAATATCGTTAGCGTTTTAATGTAAAACTTGTAACGTAAAATGGAACGATATCCGATTTTCAATAGATTTATCATTATAATGATCGGTTGACGAAGAACTTCTAGTTCGAAAAATGCGCCAGTATTTTTTAAATTGTTCCAACCCTTCAATTTCGGAAGCTCCAAATAAGTTAAATTTTGGTATAGTCATTATAATTCTTAAATATTGATCTGAAATTCAATTTTAAGAAAAACATTAAAAATGTTTATTTGCTGTCGATTCTTATTCACGATGCACTTCAGTCATTTTTTTAAATCAGATTTGACAGCTAGAAGTCTTTTACATTCTCTGGCATTTTTAATGATTGTCCATCGATGAAAAACGAAAATTTAAAGATTTTTCAAAACAACTCCAAGTTTCAAACAATTACGGTGGGATTTACTTTGGGTTGCCCTAATTCATCAAAATAAATCCCACTGAAATTTTTGATATTCAATGTATCTTAAAATTAATTGGAATAGGAATCATGTTTTGTGTGATATTTCCTATCTTCATTCAAATCGTTACTATTAATGAAGCGAATCTTGTTACTAATATTATCAATATTTTAGAGATATATTTTCTGCCTTTGCCAACATGCCCTTCATATTACCGGTGAAGAAATCTTGACTAGAAATTATCCAAACATAATAGATAAAAACTGCAAAAGACATCAAGCAATAATTTGTTTTGATAGAAACATTAATTCATTAATTTTTTAATATATATATATAAACAAGAAATAGTAACGAATGCAAAATTTTGAACATTAAAAACATCGATTCTTCGTGAAGTACGGGTTAAAATTAGTTTGTATCGACATCGACTACCATATTCTTTCAAATATAAGCCACGAATTAAAATTATTGCACGTTTTGATGAAGTTTATAATTAAGGGCGGCTTATCAACGAGGATGTCGTTTTAAACCAGGTATCTCTGCCTGGCTTTGTGGACACGGCTTGATTCAAGGGCTGCTTACATTTTTTTGATTAAACCAATTTGCTACAGATTTCAATCTTAGGTGGCTTATAAACAAGGGCGGCTTATAATCGAATAAATATGGTGATATGAAAACTTGTATGAAACGAATTTAATTCCTCAAATACAGTCCGACCATTTTAATAAAAAGAATGCAGCGCTTCCCTGGCAATCCAAAAAGATTGAGACGCAAAAATAGTCGCTTAGATGATCTAAAAAGTAAAATGTCACATAAGAAACTCCCCTTCTGTTTTGAGAGTTTTCTGCGAAGGGTTTTCGAAGGAAGGTTTATGTCCGGATAAACACTTGATTTGACTGTGGAAAACTACCCTGTGTACGCCAGCCACATAAACTCAAGGGCGGAAAAAGAAGATAGGAGTGGAGTAGCGGAGGAGCGTCCAGCTAGACTTTAGTGGAATATGTGATCAGAAATTCTGACTAAATCTGTTGTCGGATGATCAGGGTCTTATAATCGAGATAAAAATAAGCGAGGAAACATTATATAGATTGCATTGATCTATTGTGTAAATTACACAGGGCCTTTTCGCTTCTCTGACTAAATAGCCAACGCCTGAGCTGAATAACGCCTGAACTGAATACTCTACCCAAAGTCAATTTGAATATCAGCCTAGGATCGCACATGCAGCGAGCACTAACTTTGTACTGAAAACAATCCCTGAACATCACTAAAATCAGAGCAAATATTCATTGAGCAATCTATTTATCTGTGTATCAGCAAAGTATCTGTGAAGAATCTGCATTTATTGCTTAATATGCATAATTCAGAAGAAAAATGACAGCATCTCCTTGCTAATAGTGGTACCACGAAACTCAGCCTAGAAAATTAGTTGACGTATGAATATACTGCGGCTTGTACGCACTCCCAAAGCCAGATGTTTCTCTATACTAGACGACTTTCCTCTAAATCTATATACACTCTACTTTGACGAATTAAATGTAGGTTCGCAAATGAACAATGTCCTAGAGGAAATTCAGTAATTCCCTAGTTTTCATTGACAGGGCTGAGTACAATTCTTCTCCCAGGAACAGTATTTGATCTTCTTCTAGATTTTTGTAGCGCTTCAGGGCTTGATGTCACCTAAACGAAAACGCAAAACGAATAACACGATAGAACACCTGTTTATACGAGGCTGTGTATTGTACCCAGAAATGTCGGGTAGGCTGGCACTTTCAATTCTTGAATCAAGTCTTTAAGAATGGTGTAGGCTTTCCGAAAATTACGTTATTGGTTGTTGATTTCTTCTTGAGAATAAGATTTTTTAAGCTCCTAGAACGACATTGCCACAAATCCATTTGGTGAAAGAGGTCCATGGCCAGCATTTTCTTTGATCCATTTGGATAATTACAGGAGAGTATGGCAAAAAGTGGCAAAAAGCATAAAAAGTGCGAGCTCAGCAATTTCAATTTAGCATCACGTACAATAATGGTAATTCAATGTACAAATAATGGAGAAATCGAGCTTTAAAGGCTCCAATACTAAGACTGCAAGGCGAGTTTCATACGATGTTTTCGGTGTCCGAGAAACAATTAAATGAAATTCTGGCTAAGATTTAAAATCTGAATATTTCACCAACCGGAGAAAGGTATGATACATCAATACATTTTGCTGGAGATGGAGAGAATTCTGCGTGAGGGCTCCATTGATTTTCCTTATCTAAAATAAAAATTGACAACCATAATGAGCTGCAAAACTTTAAACTACGAAATCACCAGCATCATGTGACCTTTCTATTATCTTTGCATCTAGGATATATTTGCGAGCCTGTCTTTTGAAATGATCATAGAAGAAAAAAGGTGATTGGGTGCATTTGAAATGATCTAATGCACCTGAGCAGAAGTAGGAACAATTCTTTGACCATAATTAACTAGCAATATCATAAATTTTGGGTAATTGAATTTCAATACCTATGGACATACATAGGTATCTTGGTTTATGAAACCTATGGACATACAAGAAAATAACAGAGTGTTACCTTTACATGGAGAGCCAATACTTTTCCTTGCTTTAGCAAATTTTTTTCTTAGAGCATTCGCAATGACATCTGCTGGATCTTGTGATGACGACTGGCGATTTTGCGACCTTACTTTTAATGGTGTACCTCCAGGTGATCTGCAATATAATATAAGAAACTGTAATTTTAATACAATATGTATATATTACTAACCATGACATAAAAAATTTAAGTTCATTTCATTTCATGTTTTTTCACTTCATATTGATAATTCAAACTTTTAATTACAATATGTAGGCTTAGGAAACTTGGAAAAAACTCAAAAGAGCTATCGAGCCAAGTGCCCTTTACACAATTTAATAGCAATTTGCAATATAAATGAAACAAATTATGTTAATAGTAACATATCAACAACAGCTAAGAAATGCTAAGTTTAAAGCAAAGATCAAAAGATTGACACAACTTAGATTATGATAAAGGTTTGGCATGACATGCAGGCGCATAAAATTTGGAATGCATTGACAGTTACCTAACATTTCTTATATGGTTTTTTCAATTTAGATCTAAGGAAAAGATAACGTGATACAAAAGCCTGTTCATCGTTGGTTACCTTTTAACATTTGCGGCCTTCAATTTAACAGCTGACAGTCCAGCTAAAACATCAGCCATGGAGGGAACGCCATTCTCCTGTGCTTTTGACTTCATCAAGTTCTTTGGTTTCTGAATGAGACAGAACAAAGCAACAACTAGTGACTTTCAGCAAGAAGTATGATTGTATTGAATCTAAATAAAACCTTTAAACATGTATAGTTGATGTGAAGGTCTGCTATCCTAAATAGCGAAGTTTGGTATTTAGAATGTCAATCATATCTTTTGTTGACTACAAAAAGATGCTATTATCTAATTGTTTTGTTGGCTTTCTTTGCTGGATAGACTGAATTTTAATTTTATATTGCACAACTATTGGATGATAGGCTTGATCTATAGTTAAAGTTTTCTCTCAATGCAATAGCATGCTTTTATCCTTGCACAAACTCTTTAACAATAAAGCAAGTCTATTGTTTTAATAAGATGACATCATATTTCCCCATTGTTCAAGAACAAAAGATCATTGTCCTCTAAAGTATTTTGGGCAACCACCCCCTTGCCCCCAAGGAGTCTGCCACTTGACAAAATAAAGCAAAGACAAAATGAAGCATCTTTGGTTAAAGTTACTGTGATAAAAATAAAATAGTTCTGAAAATAACTCAAGAGATGACCCATGAAAAAATAAAAGAAATCAAGAGTTATGTAAGCTATAGACAGTTTAAATAGAAATAGACATTCTTCACTAGCATCTAGATTGAGCAAAAATTGAATGGAACATACATTTATTTTAGGTAGGATTTTTGGTACAACTGGTGGGGGAGGTGGTGGAGGCGTAGCAGGTATCATCTGTGGAGGTAGTGGTGGCGGTGGTGGTGCTATTGTTGTCACTTGCTCTGAAACAACAAAAGGAATCAAATTCATAAGTACCTGGTTAGCCAACCAAGGCTAAAAAAAGTGATATACAGTTATGCTTAAAATTAACCCGAAATCTGGATACAAAGCTCTGCTTTTAAAAAAATGTCTTTTGTGTAAAAATTCTGTTATCTTGAGACATAATGTTTTATCTTTGTAAAATTTATCTTTACTCAATCATTTGCATAATATGCCTGTTTGCCTTAAAGTGATTGGCCTCGGTTCAAGGCTGGTTCTAATAATAATCTTCAGTTCACTGTAATTCAGCCATGAAGCGATAGCTTTGATGATAGTTGATGAAAGAGACTCTTTGTGAACATTAGATCATGTATTTTGACTGAATGATTATCACATCTATTTTTGGCAAACAGTAAATTCTTCTGGAACAAAACAGAGTGACGCTGTGCACACAAACCAAGGCTAAGATTTATATGAAATTTTAGTGGAATATCTACCTGGTGTTTTTTCTTGATGTGAAACAATCATTGCTATTTGTGCACGTAAATCTGCAAGTTCATCTTCTAAGGCAGCTATCTTTTTTACAGATGTTTCCTTTTCTCTCAACTTTTTCCCCTTCTTTAGGCATCTTGGTGGTCCAGTCAGTTCATCAGAAGAAACATTGCTGATTTCACTAAGGCCAGAGCTATCGAGGGTCACTCTGGTGATAACTCCACTTTTATTATCAGAACCTTCCTCTTCAAAACCATTCCAAGTAAAAAGTTCTAAATCAGCAAGCCCTAGTTCTGGCATCTGTGATTTTATTGTACTCACATTGTCCTCTAGAAAGTTTTTTGCTTTACTCATCATTCTCTTGGATCCAGCAAATATCTTTGAAATAAAAAGACAATCAAACAAAACACAAAATTGCATCAATGAACTGTGCAGTTACATTCTAATCAATTAGCCCCATGCAAAAGCAAGAATTGCCCCATGAATTAGCTTGTATAAGAAACCTATTTTGTTCTAAGTATCAGGGCAGTGGACGCAAAACTTTTTGATTCTCTCAAGTGTCCTGGGCATGTTGTTACAAATTTTATTAGAGCGTTTAATGCATCAATCAATCATTAGCTTTGTATCCTCAGTTAACATATTTTTGGTCAACATGTATTCAAAAATATTGCAAACACGTATATAGCTTGGTTATATCAAAATAAAATATGAATTTGCATTCTATATATACTTTTACCTATTTCAATTTTTTCTTAGATCTTAGAATAAATATCTACCTCAAAATATGCTCTTTTTGCAGGTTGCAATGGCAGATTGCTTGCTATCATCCTGACCAAACTTCTGTTTTTAAATTTTCTCCTTCTTCTGTCATTTGTGTGACAGAAGATGCTACTCCCCATCATACGGACGATACTTTTCCTGGATTTTCTGTACCATGGTTTTTGTAGAGGTTTTCTCATCAGAACCAATGGTTTCTCCTTTGAATAAACATATTTTTTGTAACATTAGGTAAGTGGTACGTAGTGAATACTTATTTGAGTTAAACTTTTCATTTTAGGTGAAATAGAATGAATATTTTAGGCTGTTTTGTCTTCCTTACTAGAAAACATCTGAAAGCTTGAAAAAATTCTCGAAGACTTGATAGTAGGCCTACACATGATGGATGAGCATACACATTACATAAAAGGTGCAGGAACGAAGTTTTTAGAATCAGAATAACAGGAAATCAGTTGTCGTATAGTGTTATAATAATCATGAAGATTCATTAAAAATTACAATAGATGTTATGAAAATTTGCAGTTTGCAATCCATATATTCTTTTCATGTTAATCAAGAAATGTTTAAAATTAATCTTGAGACAACTTTTAACTAAGGTCTAGTCAGACTTTTATAAGACAAATCAAAATAAATAAGCAAACCTCGCTTTCTGCATCGTCATCTTCACTTTTTTCCAGATTCAGAGATTGCAAAATCTCTTTCAGATAATTTATAGACTGCTCCATTAAAAATATTCCAGCGAAAATAATCGTGTGCATTGGAAATTTTAGGACAGTTTTCAAATCTTCGGTGCTTCAGCCTCGGAATAACAAAAAAACTGGGCTCTAGTAAACGGAAAAATTTATTGAGCCAATCAGATTTTGCTTTGAAGATTTAAGCCAATCAGATTCTTCGATGGTTTTTAAGATAGCAAATCATAATACGCGAGGCAGAATTCAAAATTCAGAAAACGAGAAAATCAGTAGGCTTCGTGTAGATAAAGACGATTGCATTTTGCTAGTACATACTACCTCTTTTGCATCAAGTAGAAACTTATAATTCTGTAGAGGAAAGTAAACATGGATGTCCTCAGTGTTGTCGATCATCTTCATTCACTTGCTGTCAATCCAAGAAACCGAGCCGGTATTGTCAAGGTATGGATGGTTGGAAAATTCAAAACGGCCTAACTACTGTTTAGGTTCAGTATTTTTTATTTTTATTCCATAAATTTAATTTTTTCAAGATTCTATGAATGCTCATTAAATAATTTTCTTACAGGACCAAGGGTGCTTGCCCGGGCTTGTTCTCTTTCTCGACAATGAAGACAAGCAAGTGATTTTAAAAGCAGTTAAGGTAAGAAAAATTTAGGTGGTGTCCTTCTTTTGATGGGGTGACGACTTCTTTATGATAAAGCCGTTTTGAAGACTGTTACCAATTTAAAGAAAATATACATATAAAAATACAAAAAAATTTGGCAGGCCTATCTAAAAATCCGAAAATTGTTTGTCAGTTTCAAACTACTGGAAGTTATTTTGGAGATTGAAATCAAATGAACTGGTTAGCAAGACGAAGAAAATGAATATGAATATATAGAGAAATGGTTTCCCAGAACTTTTGAATCATAGCATATACGCCTAAAATTGTTTTGGTAAGGGGGTATGTATTGCTCTGGGCATGTTTGGGTAGTGGAGGAAAGGGAAGGTATTGGTACTGCTGTTTTTCTAGTGCATTAAGCTCCCTTTTTCATTTGAAAAAGACATCATAGTTTATGATTTTGTCCGATAAGTCCGTCCTCGTGCTTGCTTATGTGCTTGCTTACTTAATAAATAGGTAATTTATTTTCAGACTTTATATCTCCTTGCACAACACTCACCAAACAGACAAACAATGAAAGATGAACTTGGAATGCTGGAGAGTCTAAAGTCGCTGTTCTCAGAGTAAGTAGTAATGATAGATGATTCGAGCAAGTGCCAATTACACTCCTTTTTTATAAGAATTTTCAAACTTGTTGGCGAATAAGGGACGTTTCACTAACTTTGCTGGCAACTGGGGCCTCAACACTTCTCCAGAGCACACTAGCTAGCCATTTCACTAGTTACGCTCTAAAAATTCAAGAAGAAATTAAAAACAATCGGGCCTTGAATTTTCTAAAAAGAATGAACAGCCAGCCTGAAATTCAAATTAGTGGTTCTTTTGCTTTTCTGTATCAGCTAAAATACTATTTCGAAACTTTGCCCCTCTGACGGTTTTGCTTTTATATTTTCCAATTTATATTCACAATTTATATTCGAGCTAAATTCAGACATCCAGTATACAAAGACATTCAGTATACATGAAATTTTCCTTTAGGTGTGATTAATAAAACAATTTTTGGTTCGGTAAAATAGTATGAAATCAGTTTCCCAACTTTGATTTAAAAATGAAAACAACAAGCAACTCTGATCAGTTTAATACTGCTTTAAATTCTTAACCTATTTCTTAATAACAAATTAAACAAGATGACAACCAGTGAAAAAAGCTGAAATATTACTGATAGAAAAAAACCCTTTCTTTCTGAGAATAAAAGCCAATGTTTCAACAAACCCATGGATGGCTGTTTTCACTATCAAATACCATAAGCTCATCCAGAATAATTTCCCACTTTAGCACCAAGCTTTAAACAAGCACCCTGTTAGATTTTGGAGAAAAACGACCAATTGATGTTTTTCTTGTTTTTCGACCCAAAATCTTGTTGTTTGCTTCATGTATTGTATAAAACGAACCCTTTCACGAAAGAGACCAAGCATTGAATAAGCCTGTTCCTCTTTAAGGAGAAGCCCCCTATTTCGCATCAATTTTATAATCGCCATGTGTTTTATTCGTCTCATTTGGTTTTCAGGTCCAATGCAGAGATAAGAAAATATGCAAAAGAAACTCATGAAATTCTCACTGGAAATCGATCGTTAAGGTTTACAAATTTTATTACCAGATACTGTTTCAAACCGTGTATAAAACAGAACTACTTTATGATATTACTGCTTAGGTTATGAGGGAGTGGTTTATGGTGACACGATCAGTGACAAAGCGAAGGCATCTGAGGTCCTAAGTGAAAAGTTGAAACGGGCTGCAAGAAAGGCTCATCCAACTCTGTAGAGTATGCAAAAATGATAATTTTTCTTGTTAACTGGTAGAAGCTTCAGTTGAAGAAATCCATGAGCTTTTAAAAAGTAGATGAAGTTTAGCAAAGTCCTCAAAACATGGATATAAAAATAATTTGGGCCCCTTTTGGTCGGGTGCCCTTAGTTATGAACTAAGGTGCCCTAAACTGCGATAAGCCCATGGACACGGGAAGAATGGCTATCAAATTTCCAATATTGGCCATTAAATTTTAGTTGCTTATTTAGTTATTATTATCTTTTCGTAAATTCCTCTTAATTTTTCAAATCTTTACATCGCCATTAGGAAGCAAGGTTCAGAAAGAAGCACTGCCTACTTCGGTCTTGGAACTTCAAATGGACGCGCCAAAGTTATTACTCTTCAGATTCGTGGCTTGCACCAAGCGACGCGTAAAATCTGCGAAGAGCAACTGCTTCAAGTCAAGGGAGTCATAAGTTTTACTTTCAGCTTACCAAAAGCTCGCTGCATTGTGCGCGTGAAGCCGACTGTTCAAGCTGAGATACTCTGCGACAAGATTGCTGAAACGAAGATTATGTCTGCACAACAGATAATAAAGAACGATTCGGGCGAAGAGGTGGGTTTTTCTTTCTACCTTAATTATGCTTAAGAAATTAAAATGGTTTTTGCTTGGGAAAAGACGAAGGAAGGCAATGTTTAAAATCGTTTTATGCTATAACGCTGTCTTTGTCGCTGGAAGTTTCACCAAAGGAGAATCAATTGTCACAAGCCCTTACATACTTGATCTAAAACGTGGTAAGAAAAAGTCGGGAAAAATCAAGGCAGGTGAAATATTTGTCACTTTCAAATACTTAGTGACCTTTCCATGGCTCAAAAATCAAGCATCCAAAAATTGGTAACCATGTAAATATGGTGGTACGATCAGCATGTAGTTTTCACCGTAGCCATTAACGTCATCACCGCCAAATACATGCAAAATTTATAACAAACAGTGTAGGGATTGTCATTATGTCCATCTAAAATAGATTTTGCTCGAAGGGAAACACGAGGCTATATCTTCAATCCTTTTAACATCACTTTTCCCTACAGCTTAATCTACACTCTTTTCATAAGAACAATTTCATAAGAACACGAGCCTCAAAATTGGTCAAAAGTTAAGAATAAATTAAGAACAAGCTGAGGCTGAGCTTCTGCAAAATGCAATTTTGAACAGAGTTTTTCTCAAAATCGAGGATTTTTAGCCATGTGTGAGTGCTTTTTCGCTGAATATTCAAATGAAGCAAGTGTCGGCAAATGAAGGTTGTCTCACTTGCTTTGTTGGCCAATGAGTCCTGACTACCTCCCTATAGCGAGAAATCTAGCGTTCGCACTGCTTACATCCGTTGAACATCTCGCACAGTTGCGCATCAAGCAATCAACTTTTTTATGTAGAATAAGATAGCGAAGAGAAAAATATACGCTCTGAACTACACCATTTACCTGCAGTTGTCTCTGAACTTTCTTTTTAAATTTGGAATTTCCAGTTGTCTTCTTGCTACTTTTCGTATAGTCGATGATTTGGAAAGCCTAGTTCTCCTTGAAACGATTTCAATGACTGAACGTGAAGAGCTGTTCATTCGGTAGGCCCTACAGAATTTGGATGTGACAGCCATTGTTTAGCATCAACAAAACTTACTCGTATGCTTATAGATTGATGCATAAATTTTGAAGTTTCTCCTTATGAGGGGCCCGATCTTCAACTTTTTGAAGGGGCCCGTTGGCGATCGCCACCTAGCAACCCGGGCCAGTCCGCCCCTGTAATCACAGCATTTAGTCGAAACTATTATATTTATATATATCATGGTTGCATATATAAACCAGAACTTCGCACTCTTCTCATTTCATGACACACACGTTTCTTCAGACAAATGCTGTTTCATCTCCCAAACAATTAGTATTCAACAGAGGATAATTATACGCTTTCCTGAGGATGTGCTTTAACATAGCTAGTCTTTTTTTGCACAAAAATTGTTCATAGAGGTGGCGTCTTCAAATGACCTACAACTCGCGCTAATAACCACCTATATTTTTTTGTTCTTTTTCGCCGACAACTTATAGGGTTTGTCAAAACAACCCAGAAACAAGGTTGAAATGAGAGGAAATTGAATTCAGTGTTTATTTCGGCTGCAGATATAAGTAGAATCGCAAATGACAAATAGCAAGTTGTTCACTGTGCTTTTCTCGTTATGGCAATTTGATCAGCATGGAAGTCCAGTTTATTGTCGAAAAACTGTCTACTTTTACTTTTGTAGATGACGTCATTTGGTAACATGATTAGCTTAATTCGATTTGAAAATATTTAAGTCCGGTTGGAAGCAGAATGTCAAATGCGGTTTTCGGCGCAAAAAAATCGATGATAAAATTACACGTTGGGTTGTGGCTCGTATGACGGATCTAAATTTGATGATGTAGACCTTTTTGCAAAGCCGACAAACAGGGCCGTCGCGAGGCATGCCTTGTTGGGGGGGGGGTGTAGACTACAAATTTACCCGAATAAAGATTATTTTCTGAAACTCTCAGGTTGCTGTCACAAACCTCTCCAATACATTTTGTCAATCCAACTGTGTGGTATATAATTCGCAACTTTCATTTTAAAATGGTATTAACGGACTTTCCTAATAGTTTTGCCAAATCTGTATACCTGAACGGGCAAAGGATATAACTACTCGAGACGGCACCATGGTTGCCGCCGAAGGACTAGAAAATTTTCGTATTTTGATGCTTCTAACTCCCTGGAAAGTGCATTCTTTTAAGCAAATTTCATTAAAAAAATCCTTTTTATCATATTGAAAATTACTTTTCTTGTCCTTCTTGCAAACAAAGTGAGCTGCAGATAAAAACAACTGGTACAATTTTGCCGTGGTCTTGAAAAATTCCATGTTGTCAGTTACTTCAAAAGCTAGGTAACAAGCAGCACTTGTTGCCAATTTAGATCCTCTATCCATCTTAGCATTCCTTTCGAATGTTAAAGAAATCTGGAGCTGATTGCAAATTGCAGTTGACGCATCTACCTAGAAACTTTAGGGGAAATGGACACAAGGCCTGGGTTTTTAGATTTTGTGCCAACAAGAAATCTTCAAATCATTTGTTTGTTTACCTTCATTCATATCAAGGAATATCATGTTTAGCCAAAGGAGCAACTACCTTTGCTTGATCCTTTATTTATCTTAAGACATGAAGGTCGCTGAAATACCTTAAGTGTTTCTTCCACTTGGCGGATTTTACCTGAAATTTCCTATTGAGATACCATTGGGGGTGGGGGGGGGGCGCGACGCCCCTGCCGACAAATGAAGTAACAGATCATTATTATGCCATTTTTATCTTACTTTCTTTTTAATGAACATAGTCTTGGGTCGAATGTAATGTATAACTACATGCGACCCTCCCTATAATGAAATCTAACAATACTCTCTGGAATAGATGGGCTGACGTGAACTCCCTCAGTATTTTCACAATTGACAGCTTCATTCAATTCTTTTTCGACTTGATTTTCGACACACTTTTACCCTTTATGTTTCCAGCAGTTGCCACAAATACATTTTTAACCCGCATTTCTTTAAAATGCATCACTGTGTCTTGGTCACATAGGTAGGACCCTCTCCACTATACCTCTCCTCAATCCATGGCTTTCTAACGTTTCATCTTTTAAATTCTCTTTGAAATGTTTTCTTTTCAAAGTGTTACAATAATTTTTATTTGTTGCAGCACTGTTTAATTTAATGATGAATTGCAACTAATCCTTGCAAACTGTTCGTTAAATTTCTCTAGAAAAATGTCCAGTTTTTATCGCGCTTCCATTCAAATCTTTACCCCAGCAGTCTGTATTTTACCTTTTTAGGTCGTGTTGTCATTCGGCAAAGGCCCAGTTGTAAGCAAAGAGAAGGAGCAGGACCAAAGGGAATTACCAGACTACTTACCAGAAGATGAAGAAAATACTGAACCTTCTGATAAGGTAACTTTTGAAATATCATTTCTTCGGGTTTAACGCTTTGGATTCAGACCACGTCAAGGAAGAGTTGTTTTCGTCAATATACAGTGTTTCTCCACAAATATACTATAGCCTCAAGTCAACCAAAAAAAGTAATTCCACGTAGGGATAGAAATTGTTCGTGTTTGGGTAGCAAGAATTAACCATTTTCTTTCAAGGCTACAACAGACTACTAAAGGGGCTTAAGCTGTCTTTCAATCAAAAATTGACCAATCTGTGAACGTGATTCAACTCACACGCTTATTGAGTGGAAGATTGCATTTAACTATGGGCACTTCTAGACTGTTACATTCCGCAATACTTCTTCGAACTTTGGAGGGCTTCAGACCATTTATTTATTATGCTTATTATAAATATAAAGATGGTATTAAATTATATGATACATAGATGGGAGGGGGCTGATCTTGCATAGATATTGTCCTTGTTTAAAGGCAATCTGTCTCGTTGTGGATTGGTTAACGAGAACCATAGCTGGAACAATAGCCTAAACACGATTCCAGCGCTCCACCATTTTTTTACAATGCGATAAATTAAAGAGGGACTGGGAACAATAAAAAATCCCTTTGTTCTTATAATCAACCAACGTCGTGACAGATTGCCTTTAAATTGAAGACGCTGAAAGTAAAAGAAAGCAATTGCATATTGCGCGAGTATTCTAAAGTTTGATCATTTTGTTGGATTTCTGATTCGCAAGAAGTCTTTGTAAATGAGTAGTTTTAGAAAATTTGCTTGAATTCTCTAAATATCGAATTGAACTTCTTTTCTTTTTAAGACGATTGCCAGGACAGGCCAAAAAACAACATCAAATGGCGGATGGCTTTCAGGCTTCTCCAATTTTATTAGTAACTCATTGTATTGGTAAAACTTGTTGTGCATTGACTCTTTGTGGTTAAAGCTATTTTTTCATTTCATTTAACAAATTGATATCATTATTTTCTGACAGACAACTTAAATATCTTGAAGTTTCAAAGCTAACACTCCAGTTTTAGATATAAATTAATTTTTTGATCAAACGAAAATTCCCGCAGTCCTTTGGAACATTCGCGTTTTTCAAAAGAAAGCCCTTTTTAGCCCAGCGTTCAGACTTGCTTAGCTTTTTCCTTACTTCAACACTAAAGCTTTCTTAACATAAAATTGGAAAGTGCATGGTGTCGTAAACCAAGTCTAGCGTCAAGTTTGATAGATCTTTTCACGGGCCACAACGGGCTACCATCTTTGATTTCTTTTCCCATTTAAGAATACGTTTCTTTCAGGAATTTAGAACTAGCAAAGATCTTCTTTTAAACCTTCCTTTAAAGCCTACTGGGTCACCTGAACCTTTTTCTTCTCGTTTAAAAATCAAATGAATTATATTGGGGGCTAAGTAAAGATTACCTTGATCCCAATTCCAGGTCTCTAGTCTGAAACTAGGAAGAGAAATGGTAATCTTACTTCTTCTAGCATGTTTTGTTTTAAGAAATTTGTTATATGTATGCGTCTTTTATATAAAGCTTAGTTTTATTTTATTATATCTTATCTGCTTTTTCCATTAGCAATTATCTGTACATAATACCGTTAGTCAAATTGCTTCAATCGAATTGAGAATTAAAACGATGATATTAATATGTGCGCACTTTTTTTAGAATCCGATGTCTTCTTTTTGGTGTTTTATTAAGAAGGATTCATATATTAATAATCGTGGAGGGGGGTTGGAACAGTCTTCAATTCTGTAGCTTGCTAAAAATATTTCATTTAGTATTAGTTTAAATAAAATGGTTTTAAAAATTCATAGGACAATTAGTAATTAAAAATAAATAACTGGCAGAGAATGGCTTATCCTAAACTATTATATTTTCTAATGAGTTATCCTATGTAGATTATTTGTCACTATTCCAGAAAAAATCAGGCATTTCAGAAAAACACGTCTATTGGAGAGTAATGTATTCGTTACCGAGGTTGAGAACGGATCTAAAACCGAAGCCAGGCCATTCCCTTGAACAACAAGTACAGCTAAAAACATCATCAACATGGGATGAGCATAACATCGTCAACCTAAGGGCTGGGCATTAGATCCCGTATTTTCAACATGGGTTCATTGCCCGTCTACGCCTAAATCGTAGGTTTATTAACGACACGCTTCTTCCCCATCTTCTTTATCTTTCTTGTTGTCCCTCTCTGCCTTGATTGTCTGCAGTTTATCAAGCACCTCCTTCAAGTACTTGATGTAGTCACAGGTTTGTTTCAAGGTCTCCAATTTCGAGACCCGTTTCTGCTGCTTTCTTAAATTAGGCACTAGCTCTTTGAGTCGTAAATAAGCTTTCTGCTCGACGGCACGTTGTGAGCTTCGTACTTTGTTCCTCTGCATTTTTATGGAATCGTACGATTCAGAATTGTTCGAGTTTGCATCTAGTACTCCTACGGTGCCTGTAATCGAGAATCATAAAGTGATCGCATCGTATAACAATCACTGACGAATCAGATTAGATCAAGTCTACCTTAGGGCTCTTCTGCAATCGGCATGCTTTGCGGCGATATTTTAAAACTGGCCTAATATCGTACTGTATCAAAATAACAAAATACAGTCCACCTCCCCCCGCATAAAAAATAGCTTCCGCAAAGTACGCCTTTAACGTTGCCAGAAATGTAAGACAAGGTAGGACTAGAAGTAATGGACAAACGTAAGAAAACAGCAGAGTTCCAAAGTGTAACGTCAAAGAAATTACCGAATTTTGAAGTTCGAAATAGGTTGAATCTATTGCAAATTGCACGAAATAAAATATGTTAAAGTACTGGGATTGCTTCATCAAAATTTAGACTTCAAACAAAATTACAGTGCTTTATTTGGAAAGAGCATGTGCCCGCGTGTCAGTATTTGAAGTTTGTTTACAAATAAATAAATTTCGATGACGTCGATAACAATTTGAATAATATTGCAAAGGAGTAAAATTATTGAAAAATTTGCGCATTTTAAACGATGAAATTATAAATCCTCTCGCGGGCAACATTTAAATTTATCAGAGGCCGGGACTGCCTTTCTTGCCCTATCTGGATATCGTCCCCCATATCACCCCACAGCTGTTACGCCTATTGTTCTCGGGGAAATGAGGACAGCGAATATTTTGCCTTTTAACAGACCGCAACACGCAACTTTCGAAAATTGAGTGATTTTCAAAATTCAGTAATAAATCGTACACTTACTCCATAAAGTTGCGAATAATTTTAAAAGATGAATCTACTTTTGCTTCCTTTATAACATAAATTCGTTGTTTGCATGATTGTTTCTGGTTTCCGGGAAAAAAATCGAAAGGACGACCATTTTTGTGATTTTCCGATGCGATGGCGATTTTAGGCCAAAGTGTTCCTCATACTTTTCTTTGGCGCTTCCAAACGATAGACGATAAATACTTCATTTTTGTTGCATGAATTGGCCAGTGAACGAGGCTTAAAAACTATGGGGGTGCACAGGTCGGCATACGGTGCGAACCAGTCAAAAATCAGCTTTTCTTGCGTTTGCGTGAAATTTGAATCTCAACGGCTTTTCTGTCCGCTTGTGCACCCCAAAAATTTCATTCTCCTACGAATAAAGCATCAATTTGATACGTTTTTCTAGCAAAATAAGCCTGTCTGTGGAAGCGCGAGCCGATTTTCGACGACCCGGTCGGCCTAAAACTTCATGTTTTCGTAGTGATTCTCCCAAACTGCGAGGCTCCTTCGCAGCGTACTTCTCTTCGGCTTCTCCGTTAGGTGCGATGAAAATATAAACTTAAAGGTAAAACAATTGAATAAAACTCTTTAAATGCTATATTCATACATTTCCTACCTTTTCAGAGTGTTTAATACAAAAATATTCCCAATTGTCCTTGTTTGGTTGGCTTTGGCAGTGGTATTGATAGACAAATTCTGTTAAAGAATTTCGCGGGAAGCCGATTTAGGGAAACGAAAATTTTTTGCTGAAAACCGACAAACTCAATTACGATTCTATTCCCAGGTTCTAGTACAGAATTTAATGCTGAGTCCAAAACAAAAAACAGCTCTTTTATAGCTTTTTTAGATTTTGAGATATTATCGATTTTCTCCGACGCGGTCAGAGAATGGGCCTATGCTGTCCTGACTTCCGCGGCGTAACAGCTGTGACCCCATTTCTAGTTGTTTTCACGTTTCCAAAACCCACTTCAAGCAAACAAAAAGTAATACCTCGTGCAACTCCATCTCCGGCCTGCTGGGTTTGCTGTAAAACATTGCAACAGAAAGTCACAGTTTTCTGGCTTTGACAGGCAGTGGAAACTTCATTGCTACATCGACTCGGACCACCATTGATCCCCGCATCCATTTTTTTAATATATATCTTTTTAGCGGATCTCTGACACTTCTTCCAACCAAAAAGTTGTTCTGTTGAATATTTCTTGCGCTTCAACTTTCAGGGGGCTCAACATAGAATGTGCTCGGTTGGCTTCTTTCTCATATGGGCACATTGTTATTGTAAGAAAAGTATTATTGTAAAGATTTAATAGTATCTGAGAATTTTAAGATCCAGAAACTACAACTAGCGTGATTTAAAGTACAAGGTACAGCTGTTTACCAAAAGGCTTAGGTGTGTGAATTGGTCTTCCTATTTGAAGGAATAAACCTCAAAGGTTCACAATCTACCATTCTCTCCAAATAGGGGTTGTAGCAACTAGATTTTGAACTTCTCCTTACAGATTACATCTTTGGTCAATTCGATAACATCAATCAAGATTCATTGTTTAAATGGACTCCAATAAAAGTTTGAAAGTTTGAGGGGCAATTGCAAATTTTAGAATCACAACAAAATACTTCGCAACAACTTTTGTTTGGACATAAAAGAAGGGGTTGCACCATCCTCTGAAAATCAAGCAGAAAACAAACTTTTTTACAAAATTTGCTACAGCAAAACGAATTCTGTTGCAGCAAAACAAATCTTCCTAAAGTAAAAATAATCTTGAATGCAAAGGTACAGAAATTGAGCATCCGGGACTTGGCATGAGTTCTTCAAAAAATATTAACTTACTTCTGCCAATATCAGAATGAAACCCTAATACCGCCAGTAACAAAGCCGGGGGGGGGGGATTTACACTGTTCATACGATTTCTTTTTCAAAAAGATCAATTTCAGTTTAAGAAAGGTTTCAACAATTGTTCAAATCTCTTCTTAGGACCAGCAAATAACGACTAGATTGTGGAAGGAAACTTTTCATAAATTATCATTTTAAAAGAATATTTGCTTTCTCCTTTCGTCTGAAATTCATCCGAAAAGATATATAAGTATCAAACTTTGAGGTGTGTCAGACGAATAGGTTAATTATGTTCTAAAATGTTTGCGTTTTTCAAAGCCATATATAATCTATTGATTGTCTTTAGAATGATCATAGAGCACAAAACTCGTGAAATTCACGCATCGTTGAGCTTGATCGATAATCAAACGATTTAAACCAATCAGAGATATGTTTGATTCCAGAGCTTTTGAATCAAATGGCCGTGTTTCCGTTGTAGAGAAGCTGTGGCTAGAAAAATTTGCTTCCCTGTTTGGTTTCTGCGACAGATATGTCAAAAGGGAAAATAAATGCTTCCATCAAAATCTTCTTGCCATTTCCGATAGCATTTTGCCCGCTGTTTCAAATGTCGTCCACTATCACAGCTAGGCCAGTCAATGGCGGGATAAGCTATTGTTCATGTTAGCCAATCATTGAGGGGACAGATTGCCTTTAAGTTGTGTTATTCGAAGGATAATTATCTGATTAAGCTCGCCTTTTTCTCAATCTGCTCTCAAATTAGCGATTCGTTAGCAAAGTTGAATCTTTTATTGGCCTGCCAGATATCGCCCAATACACAAAATATTTTACTGCTTAACCAGACTTGAGGGCATTTCATGGTATTCTTTTAGCATGTGTGATAAAAAGTAAAAAACAAAAATTGTGTGTATTACGGTTTTTCAATATATTTGGTCATAATAGAAGTTATGACGTCAAGCTTTAAAACTCTTTGTCCATTATCTGACCTCGCTTTAGCTACATGACAACAGCAGCAACCCCACAATGCATTGCGGCACAGTTCATGCCGTCTTCTTGAGGCAAAATGGCCGACATTATAGATATCGATGTAGACGACCAGGATTTCCATGAAGACGAGGGAGATGACGATCTTAGAAAACTAAAGTCATCAGTAACTAAAAGAAAAGGTAGAGGCTTTAAAGATTCTTCTTCTAATAGAGACAAGGGAGCTTACGAGTCAATTGCTGATGAAGAAAGCGGTGAAGACTTTGGACCGGCGCGTTCAGTTGAAGGTTGGATATTGTTCATAACCAATGTTCATGAAGAAGCTCAAGAAGATGATATTCGAGATGTTTTTGCAGAATACGGAGAGATTAAAAATGCGCATTTAAATCTGGACAGGAGAACTGGTTTCCTAAAAGGATACGCTCTCGTTGAGTATGAAACATTCAAAGAAGCTCAGAGTGCATTAGAGGCATTGAATGGAGCCGAGTTGTTGGGGCAGAAGATAAACGTGGATTGGGCATTTGTCAGAGGACCCTACGGTAGCAAAAAGCCGAGCAGAAGAGAGAGGAAGAGATAGACTTTCACAACTTTTTAGGACAGTTTTCGGTTTGAAACTTGAACACCTTGAGAAACACTAGTCCCGAGAAAAACCGCCTTAGAATGTTGGCGTCTGGGAAAACTTGTGAATGTTACTGTGTTCAACAAACAGAACAAAACGAGCATGTAAGGGCATAAGGGGGGAAGTTTCCTATCTTTTCTTACATCTGCTAAAGGCCATTAACATGTACAAACTTTGCTTCTGTGTTGTAAAGAAAGTATAGCAAACTTTATTGTCGCTTTGGTCAGAATTTGACAGGACAGATTATTTTTCTCTAATATCACCTACTCTATTTGAAAAAAACTTTGCATAAATTCTTGTTTTAAACAGTTGCCATGTTGGCTAACAAGACACACCTTATTGTCAAGGGTTTTCTGTAGTCAAGACTTTAAGATGATAAAAAATATCCCAATTTTTTATGTATTCTATGTATAAATTTGCATTTTCTACTCTTTTGAAACCACACTGCTATGAAATTTATGGATTGCACTGCTCTAAAAAAATAATGAATGTACAAATTTGATGATATTTGCACTGTGTCTTGTACCCCAATCTTGCAGTGTATGGCAAATGCATGCACAAGATCAGTTTAGTTCTACACACAAACATTTAAAAATTGCACCTCAAATTTACAAAAAAATTGTTGTAGAAAATTTGCATTCAATATCATTGGAAAAAGGAGGTTTGCACCCAGACAATGGGCCTAAAATGATCACAAAAAGCAAGCTCTCCACAAGAGTTTTCCTATTCAGCACACTGGCTGTTCCCTAATTAGTGTCATGAATACATTTGTTATCAAAGCAACTTATGAAATAGCCAAAAGTGACTGCATTTAAGTCTTGAACCCTTGGTGACTTAACATTATTTTGGCAATTAACCAATAAAGTACCGATTTGCAAGTCCCATTAGGTTGAAAGTTGCAATGTTTTGCCTTCAGTTAATCTTGAAACTTTTTTAAGATCACAAGCTAAAACATTGGCAGTTATAATCTCAAAGTTATTGACAACAAATTAAACTTTGAAATTATCTATCCAAGCTAAATACAGGTCTAGAAAATGACCATGAATACAATATTACATTTATTCTGAAATTATTACCCACAATCTACAAATAATAGTGATTAACAAGAACATTTAGCTGACCCTTTCAATCCAGTGAAAACATTTAAATTGTCCCTATGACAGTTAAATTTTGATGATTTAGGGTAAATGCTTGCATTAAAAATGCTGAAGTCTGTGGGTCAGCAATACCAATTGGCTTTCTTGTGAACCACAGCATATTGAAAATACTGATAACAGTTATTGCTAAACTAAATAGGGTTGATAACAAAAAAGCTTTAATGAGCTAAAATATTTTGACATGCCAATCATATAAGGTTACAGGGTTGGCAAATTAAAAGGGCTTGTTTATCATCTTTACATTCTTGGAATTAGCTCTTTTAATAGTCAAAAAGCTCTTTTAAGGCCAAATGAAACACCTTCAGGGGTTAATGTAGCAGAATATGTCACTTCTCAGCAATCCATATGGAAAAGATATGAAATTCCTGATGCCTTGTCTTTCTGACGCATTGTCTTACTAAGTTTGACTAATCAGTCCTTTTCAATTGGTATGTATCGATTGAAAGCTTTTTTATTAAAAACATTTGTTGGCCATTAATTATCATAGACTTCAGGCCAGATATAATTATAAGCACAACTGACTGCACTACTGACTCTTAAATTTTTTCAATTATCAAAAAACGTATGTGCTGTTTCACAAATCTGGAAACATGTTAAGTACAACTGTTCTGTATTTTATCAATCTTGAAAGCATTTAGTAAAATAATAGGGCATTGGTGGGAACTTTGTAATATTCTATGGGGCCTGCTCCTGAAACATACAAAACAGGTTTTAGCAAGTTCATTTGCACATTCTAAAGACACTTCAATAATTTTTCAAAAATGAATTGTTTTTAATTTTAAAAATCATTATCTATCCCAGTACATAAGCATGGAGAAAATTTCCATGTTGTTATCTTTTCAACACAGCCAGTAGGACATACCAAATTATTTCATGAACAAAATAGGTTAGATATCTCAGTTGAGAATAAATATGTGATTTTAAAAAGATATGCCTGTAAGATATATTATTTTACGAGGTGGCAGAAATCTAACACTAGCAAATATTTTGGTTCAAAGAGTGAGGTACTTTTAAACTTTCAACAGATAGTTTAAAAATCATAAAAAATTAGGAAGGTGGTTCATACTGAATTTAAAACATTTGTCTCTCACTTGTCATAAACATAATACTGTTCTATTACTTCTTCAAACTCCTTGAACAGTTATCAAGTCCCTCTAGCATGATCAGACTTGATTTACTTAATTTCTTTCCTTCAGACTTAAACATGATGTTGATACATATGAATGATATGACTGAGCTTAACTTTACAAAGAGTCAAGACGATGCTCTTTGACTTTTTATCATATACAGTTTGATTTATTCAAAATTCAATGAAATCCTCTTTTGTAAAACAGGAACTTTGTTGACACTTAAGCAGTCCTGGTAATATGAAATCTGGCGGCGTGCTGGTAATCGCACGCAAAAATGCGCAATCCATAAAGTGGAGACATGATTTTTATGAAGATGTGTTTGAAAAAGCGTATGAGGTTTCCATAAAGCCAAAATGTTTTTATGCGATTTTAGAAGAAGTTTCTTGAAAACAAAATGATTTAACAAAAAAGGATACTGTTTTTAGGCCCTGTTGCCATTACTAGAGAACGGACTCGAGTGAATCTGTTTTAGACTTTTAGTTTCAACAATATGCTGAAAAATTGTGTCATTTGATACCAAACTGAAGTTATTCAAAAACGCTTTTCAAAGTGGAGCCATCCAAAACGCAATCATTCGAAAACTGAGTCATTCAATCTCAGTTTCAAAAAGAGCTCAAGAGAAGGATATGTGAACGGACAATTATAGAGTAATGGAAACACGCACATTATCGTTTTGAACAAAACAGAGTGGCCCAAGGTAATGTGTTCAAGAACATACAAAAAGAACGAAGAGTGAGAACAGAGACACACAAAAACGAAGTAATCAAAACCGGGCTCAATGGAAAAAAAGTAAAGAATTAAAATGTTTCCGGGAATGCCATCGATATAACCCACACAAAAGAAATTAAAAATTGCTTTAGAGAAAATAAAAAAGAAAATAAAAAAAAAGAGAAAAAGGATAATCATTTGAAACATGGAACTGTGCGTGCGATAGAAAGCAGGCCTCGGGAGTTTTAGGTGTGTGTGGAGGCGTGCGCATGCGATCGCATGCCTTATATTACCAGGACCTCAAAAGATGTACTTGCCTAAAAGGTAATTTTCTCCAGACAAATGTATTGTCTGAGACAATTGTGTTGAAATTTTAAATAATGATCCTCAAAATTTGGTATCAAAATAACACATAAATTCTAATTCAATTTCTTCCTAAAATACCTAGTTACCAATCACCATTTTTACGAGTACTTCTGCTTTTTGCACCCTTGTTTTCATTCTCCCAGCCATTACCCCATTCATCATTTGCCTCCCATCCATCATTATCACCCCATCCATCAGCATCCCACCCATCAGAATTCCCTTTCTTTGTTGCTTGTACTTTTGCGGCTGCCTGAAATGGGTTTTCATTAGAAGATGCAGACAAGCTACCATACCCTCCTTGGGACTGTATTTTTGCTGGTTCCATATTGTCGTTGATTGTATAGCTCTCCTGAATGTCTTTATCTTGAATAGTTTTGTTAACATTGTAAGCACCAGAAACAAATGATTGCAAATTGAACCACCCCTTTTGACTAGCAGATTGGACCTAAAATTGAAAAAGGCACAACATTTTTCTAAATATGATTATCATATGATTAAAAAAAGTGATAATTAAAAGCTTATAAAGATAAGACATATGTAGAAATCAATGACCAAGATTTATCATAAAAAATGATGTCAATGGACCTTATGAAGGGTCTTTATTATTCATCTTAGCAAAATGTCAAAATTAATTTTTTTTTTCTAGGCCAATTTGCTTACCTAGACCTTGCTATTCAGTGGTGATTATATGAAAGATTATACTATAAGGGATTATTGTTAAATCTATATCTTGAAGATGCTGTTGAGCATTCAGAGGGATAATGTTGAACATTTAATATATTTAACTGCAAACAGTGTAAATTTTTCAAAGCCAAAGTGATTGGAAATTTATCAACAAAGTGTTAGAATTAGGAGCCTTATGTTTTCTGGAAGAATCCTTGATATCTAAGAACAACTTTGCTAAATTCCATTCCGTTGAATGAATTGATCTGTATTAAAGGACAAAATGATAAAGAATGCCAGGTTAGAAAGAGAGGCTTCATCATGAGCAGCCTAATTTTATTTCCCTTGATTCTCTTTATGATTAAAATCTTAACTGAAAAACACTAGAAATTGAAAACAGACAATTTGCCACAACATGACTCCTCTTTAGGGAACCTGTAAATCCTAGCTTAAATTTTTTGGTTTTTTTTCAAAACTTAAAACTTTTTGAAAATTCTGCTCATTTTACCTTAAATTTTTCATCCATTTAAATTATAGAAGAAAGTTCCTGAAAATTAGTTTGCAAAAACTCAGCCATTAAAATAAACCCACCTTTGATGCGAAACCCGACATAGTACTTGTCATGTCATCTAACACTTTTCCTTCATTCACCTGAAGAATTAAGCATGGCCATAATATCATATTTAGCAGCATTAAAGGTTACTTGAAACCTTGAGGTTTTGATGCCAAAGTACTATTTGTCTCCTGATTATATTAATTGCTAAACTGAACCGCTTGCTCATCAGCTCCTGCCCAAAAACTCAGCAGTATTTACATTTAAAACATCTTTACAACAGTAGCATGAAATTTCATAATTTTTCCAACAACAAATAAATTTCAAATAATTAATATGTTAAAATTATAATATGTTTAATCATACAGACATTTTTTCCAAAAAAATGTTTTTCTTGAATTGATGTATATAATGATGTAAAATCCTATAATATGATGTAAAATTTAAGCTGTATTTTGGTAATGCTAGACCATGAATATCAAATATGAATATTTATCTATATTTTTGCCAACTAAATATCAAAGACAGACTTGCAATAATCTATTTTTGTCCATTAAACAGAGTATGGTAAAACTCTTTCAAACATTTGTTTAAAACAACTTTTGTCTATTGAAGTTTTCACAGATGCCAACAATGGTACAAAAATGAGAAGAAACTTGTCACCATTTGAGAAGCAATAAGCTGTACCAATTATTAGAATTTCACCTTTTGAGAGGCAGGTTTGATAACTGATTCATTGACTGCAGTTCCTATCTTGGCTGCCTGCAATAAGTAGAAATTTACAGTCAAGCAAAAGTAAGAAAAATATAGATAGCCAAGTAAAAATATTCAATATAAAAAACAAATCAAGTCTATTTAGTAACAACTACACTTAAAAAATAATCTTCAAAGGCAAGTTCTCCTTCAAATTTCATTACACTGAAAAAACTCCCTGATCTTCAGTTTTTCAAATACTAGACCATCATGAATAAAGCAAACCAGTTGTATACCTTATCTGTTGCTACATTGGCAATCTGTTGAGCTCCACTTGCAAATACTGACCAGCCCTATAACAAAATGAGACACCATCAAACATTAGCAAATCATTCATAACATCTACACATATTTTTTTATGATTTTCAAAGAACCAGCTTTGCTTTAAATGCATCTCAGAATATTGCTTGCAATAATTTCCTGCAATTGTCTAGAATGTTGTACTATTATTATGTATACTTTTGCTTTGTTTTAATTTCAATCTTAAATGGAGTTCACTACTTTATAAGGCCCCCATAGCATAGACCTCAAGGTCATGGGTCAATTTGCCTCCCCTTGGTGTGACTAGACAAAAGTGTCCTGATTACTTTCAGAACAAACAAATTAGTCAGGAGGTGGAAAAATTATTTTTTTCTACCAACATATTACAATTTCATTCAAATAGGTTACACATAAGTGAGTGATTCAGTCTATATTACAAAATATTTTACTCATGCTTTGTGCATAAAAACAGACTGAAGAAAATTGTTTACAAACATAAAAAAATCTGAAAAACTTACAGTCTGAAGAGATGAAAGTGCAGTGTCCCAACCTGTTAATGGAAAATACAGTGTAATCAACAATAGAAAATGCTGAGATGATATTGAAATTATCATTATTATATGTTATTATTTTAACCATGTCAAAATAAATAGCTAAAATATTGGAAATGTAATTGTTAACAAAGTGTGAACTAAAAAAAGGAATCAGAGATAGTCATTGTAAATGGCATCAAAATTTAGAGAGCATTATATATCACAAAACATCAAGATAGCTCAGAGAGACATTCAATAAAGCTTCTCTTTTTGACAAAAATTAAAATTTTTGTGATTTTTGATCAAATAGAACTGGATAAGATGTGTATTTTGAAACCTTAACATTGAAACCCTAACAACACAACTAATATGATTAGTTGAAAACTTGGAAGTATGTTTCTTTTCAGGGAGAAGCAGATAATCCATTATACAAAATTTCTCCTGGGTCATCAACATAATAAGTTAGCAGACCTGTCAAAGTTACATGAGTGAGTTTATTTGAAATGGTTGCGGAAATTTGTAGGCTGCTATGTGATCTCCAACCATGGTACCGGAGCACAGAGCACAAAAAATCAGAAGGAGAATGGAGATCCCTTCCCAATTTCTTAGGCTCTAGTGCCCACAGTATGTGGTCTCAAAGCCATGACAGATTCGGAATTAACCCTGATATGATATGGGGACGTGACCCTTAGAAGATCTTGTTCATCATGCCCTCTAGTTCTTCGGAAATGCCTACTTTGGGTAAATTGGGTAAAGTGTTACATCCTGTTACAAACACTTTGTACAGGTCATCATTACCATTTGTGAACCATTGGATGCTTCCAAATCTTCTTTCCCTCTAATAAAAGGGAGATTATTGTCCTATGTACATTTTTGTAAAAATTATTGGGTTTCATAGTTGCAATAGAACTAGCCTGTGATTCGTGTAGGCAAGAAAAAATGAGACTGAACTAGATCTCAGATAAAAATTGCACCATTTAACTTGTAGAGATTTGCTGTTATTGTCATTTTCTTTCCTGTAGATAGGCCTTGTTAGGAAATAGGATTTTTGCAAGGATTTGGGAGACAGCTACATAAAATTTAATAAACCAAAACTTCATTGCAGATTGTGCCAGAATGCTAGGTTGATGGAAAATATGTGATACTTGGAAGGCCTGAGTTAAGATACCAACAGGCCAGTTCTGTCAATGCTACCTTAGCTTTCAGTGTTGCAACGAGCAATATATTCCTATCTTGATAAACAGTAATTGACCATTCAAATTATTGGTTAAACTGGAGCCCTTAAATGCAATATCGGTGTTGCGGCCAAACACTCTAACCAGTTGGTCACTCATTAACCCAGCTTTGGAAACAGATTGAAGCATTATAAACTTTCTATACTATGAATGGAAATCTCAAGCCAATTTAGTTGGAAAGTTGGCCAGCCTTTCTCGGAAAAAAGTTTTGAACAATGCTGGGTCCCTGGTGAACATCTTACTTTTTTTAGCTATATTTTACCCAATACATAAGAAGAAGATTTTGAAGGAGAATTTCATGTTTCTTGCCATGATACCTGATTCATCCTTTTTCCTATCATTAGCGGGGGTGTTACCAAATCCAACATATTTTCCACCTTGGCTTGGATGCAATCCTCTGTGAAAAATATAATTTTAGATTATGTATGTAACTGTATAACACAGAAAACTCAAACAATGCAGCATTCTTACACCATTATCAAAAACATGTAAAGTTCAGCCTCAAGTTGATTAGAAACCGTTGCAAAATAAATCGTGGGTCCAATGTGAATCAAATACTTCTGGGGACTAAAGAAAATTGACTGCAACTTTTGTAGAAATTGATGTTTGAGTTGGATGAAACCCCAAAAGTATTTAAAGCCATTTAAAGTTCTTTCAAGTAATGTGCTCAAGTTACTTTTTTAAACAAGAAAACCCGGCTTCGGTATCTTAATTACTTTTCTTCTTTGAAGTACCAGGCCCTGGTGGCCCCTAGCATGATTTCAGTATTTCATTTTACTGTTTAGGAAATCATACACTGGGCTCAAACTGAGTGTATGCTACTGTGTATGCTACTGTGGCAACAATATTGTCTACAACATATTGGATTTTTGTCAAAAAGGATCATGAAAAACAAAACAGGTATATTCTAACTATCCATTTACTTCTATTTCAGAACAAATGCTGTAAACAGTTCCAATGATAATTTAAAAATTTATTTGGCTTCTTGTGAATGCATTATAATGTCCAAAACTCTCAACTAAAAGCAATGGTTTTCTCTTATCACTTTTTTCTGTCTTTTTATGTGAAAAAACCAACTTCTGGTAGATAATAATGGGAAATTAAAAGAAGCACATGACAATACTTACTCTGGTCTCGTAGCATTTTCCTGTTGTCTTTTGGCAAAAAAGTCACTTTTCTGTGCATCAATTTCACGTCTGAAAAATTTAAACATGAGAAAGATCAATGGTAAACCAAAGTGTTATTTTAACAAAGAAATGCAACTTCTAAATTATTAAGGAAACAGTAGCCTAGCCTCATTGTCTGTTTGTATCTAATATAGTTCGCAGTTTTGATTTCTAAATCTCTGTCGCCCCCTTCCTAATCAAGGAGCAGTAAGTCACAGAGGTAAGAAGCTTTTCAAATCTGGGGACATATCTACGCATAAAAGGGGATCTCTGTAAGCTGCAAATAGACACTTCATCAATATTTCTAGAAGTCCTCCCCGGTTCTTATTTTCATATAAGGGTCTATAAACATTTCTTTGCTAATAGAGGCTTACATGGATTAGGATAGTTCTGGTCTGTTCTGCATCTTAACGAGTAGCTGTTAGTAATGCTCAGTGGCGAAGCCAAAGGTCCTGCTGGTCCTGCTGAGCAGGACCAAGAATTTCCAAAGATAAGATTTACTGTAAACAATAAACAATTTCTTCTTTGCAAAAAGGAAGTTTCAAATTCTTTTTGATAAACAGTCCCCAGTTCCGCCAGCTGATACAGGCATCCCGTGCTAATCTCAAGGTCCTGTTCTCTTCTACGGCAGCCCTGTATTTTGGTCCTGCTCATAACTATGATACCCTATGTTTGGTCCTGCTTCACAATGGGCTTTTGTGAATTTAGTCCTGCTTCACAATAGTCTAGAACAAAGAGCAGTCCTGCTCAATCTCGGGAGCAGGACCTCGTCGAAATGACCATCATAACATTTCGTAAGCAGTTGTGATTTGATTGGTCGAGGGTTCACTTACATAGGTCAAAAGGTATTGTTTTGAAAACCTTTGGTCCTGCTATTTCTGAGAGCAGGACTGCAAGAATTGCCCTGTGCATTCTCGTTCTGCTATGAGACACTAGCAAGGAGGCCAGTTCAAGTATTATGGCGAGGCGATGTGAATGTGGATTTCCTGCTTGCTTTTGCAATACCAATGATATTATTATTGACAGCAAAACTTGCCTCAGTTGAGCTGCATAAATTTTATTTGTAACAAGACAGAGTCCAAAGTTCGCAAGAAAGAAATGTAAACAACAAGAATTGGCTGTATGAGGCACTCTGATTTCGGCCTTTGCACGATCGTTTGAGGCACGGTATATCATGGTGGCCTAAATAAAATTTTCTTAGACTTGGACAAGGACGATGAAAGCATAATTGAATTTACTGTTGTGTGATTGAAAGTTTTGAATTGGAGAATAAACCAATTTCAGCGGAATTTGCATTTTTCTACCTGAATTGTTTTCTCGTCTAATGGTTTATCTAATAACGTTGTTTTCATTGATAATGCGACACATTATTCGATTGTACCTCTCTTTATCAGCTGCAGAATAATTGTTCTGCAGAATATGTGAACTTGCCCCTACAGACTTTAAACTCTGTTGTTTATTAAAATTATTTTAATAGAGTATCTAGATTGGTCAGGTTTATATTATGTGTGGAATAACACAAATGTATGATATGCAACCTTTTACTTCCTACCTACCCCCTTTTATCGTGAAATTTAGTTATCACCAATTTGAACTTTTACTTCAGCTGTAGAGGCTTACTACAATTTAACATATATTTGTTTGAAAAGTAAGCACCCTAAAGCACGTCTTTAAGTATGGGTTTATTTTTCAAAAGATAGACATCGATTTAAAATTTGCTTTTCACTGAATTTAAGAAAAAATTCATCTGCAAAATAGAATTTTTGTCCATAGGCTTTTCCAATTGAATAAGGGCGTGGCCCTGTCCATATAGCAGGACCAACAATTTTTGGCTAGCTTCGCCACTGGTAATGCTGTCTTCTATGATAACTATGCTTATTTTCTCATTATTAGCAACGAAATTGCAATTAAGATACAAAAAAGTATGAACCTCACCACTTACGAAACTTCACAAGTAAGATGCATATTTCATTTCTTGGGCAACGCACAAGAAAAAGAATTCATTTCTACAGTCCCTGCCTTGCTTTTTATCATTGCAAAACTTGAAAGAACAAGCAGGAATTTCCCACGGTATGAGAACTCCATTAACACACTATCGTCGGTATATCACGTGACTCACACAACAGAGAATGATAAATAAGGCGAGAAATTCACCTAAAAGCCACAAAGGCGCAAATCATCTAAGAAAGACACAACGTTGAAACTTGCTCTTCCCATGTTTATTTTCGAGAACGAACATAGTGCAAAATAGCCCATCTGTTTTACACCATTTTGCACATCTTTTAAACCAGCACTTCTTCAAATTTCAATGAAAAACCAGCTTGACGTGAGAAAGCTAAACATGTTGGAGTATAAGCAGCATCAGGCCAATGCGTAAATATCCAGGCCATTTTTAACAACCATTAACGTGTCGAAACGCCATAACCAACAGCATGGTCATTTTCAGGGCTTCGGCGCCGGAAGGGGGTTCAAGCTTTAGTTCTTTTAATAAGGTAAATCCAATTGGAGACACGTAGGCAGCGCACAATTATCGCTTATTGTGCAGTTCAAAGATGCCACAGCCAAACTAATGAGAGACCACCAACCCACAATGGTACTCTGGGTACCAGAAAACATAAATCCAGGTGAGGAAATTGGAGAGAGAAGAGCGGGGACACGGAAGCGTAATGGGCAGTGGCGGACTGGCAACCATTTGACCCACCGGGAAAAGCAGCCAAAAGGACGCCAATATGTGCTGAAGTCACAAACCTTTAGGGCTTGTAAAACGGGCTCGGAAAAACTTTGCTTTAGCTGAGAATCAGTTTGTTGCAAGCATTGTCACAGGAAAGAAAACGGGGGATTGGGGGATGGCCCTCGGAAAATTTTTTGAAAGCACCCTATTTAGAATGTCGGAACATGCCCCAAGTTGAAAATCAAAGTTTTTTATTCACAATTGGCATTGGCATGAGAAGATTCTCAGTCAAATTGACTTTATTTTAAACGTCTACACGGCTGACAAAATTTGTAGGTACCAAATGATGTATTGCCCTCAATTTTAGGTATCAAATGATGATTTTTCAGCTAGCGAGACACTATCTTCCAAGATTTTACAAAGATAGCAACTTCTCTAGCCTAGGAGACGAGATTCTTTTCGATTTAGATCGATCTCGAAATCTTTAGAAATTTGACGAAATACATGATTTCATTCTCATAAATTTTCGAAAGTTTTGCAGCATATATTTGAAAAAAAGTAAAGGGGTGCCTCAGCACCTGCTAGCATAATGACTGTGTTGCTCCTGCCTCTACGCTAGAGTTACGCTAGATATGATGCCAGTGCATCAGCGTGCGGAATTATTATCAGTTATTGAACATATGCTTAAAACTATAGACTTGTCCGAAAAGTATCTGATAACATATTTTGGACAAATGGATTTTTTAAAGTACCTGCTGCCGTCCGTTTTGCGCAAATTGATGATTTTGCAGATTGAAGACTCCTTCTGTATGAGAGACTGTGCGTAGACATGGTTAAAAGGATAAAGAATTTCTTAAGAAAAGGCACAGTCTCTATTCCGGAACAAACGTTTGAAGGAAGATTGGAATGCTTTAATAGATAGTTGTAAATTCGAAACCAGTTTTTTTCAAAACAGCCGGTTTAACTTTCCATTAAGTTTTAAAGAAGATTCGTACATGAGGGCATGAATTCTCAACAAATTCCGTATAAAGTTTTTTAAGAAGTTGTCAAGATTTTTGGCTCCAATAAGTCATAATTTCTTTTGGGCACAAAATTTCTGGTTGTAACGTACAAAAACACAATGCCTATGGGTTTTTAGTTAAATTGCAAAATAAAATAACTTGCCGCCATTAGGACGTTCAGAAAGTATTGTCCTCTATCGTACCTAGAACAGTTTTCACTATTAAGGAAAAGTTTATGGCTCAACCCATCTTTGATTACGTAATATGTGAACGTTCCCATACCCAATAGCCAACAGATCGATAATTTTATCCAGGTATAACTATTTTGATTGGAAAGGGTACAGGGTAGTGCTCAATTATCTTTCCAAAGTGCGAGCCCTCAATTATTGGATATCAGGCACTAGGAATAGTTTGCTTTAGCCATAAGTCAGAAAACTAATATGGTTAGTCATAAGTCATGGGTTTAACAAAATTATTAGTCACCTCAATAGATATCAAATTAATTCAGGTATAGCGTACTTGCTTGAAAAATTAAAAGCTAACGAGGGTTGGAAGTGAGAGTAGGCTTTCTGGCTGCTACACATGAACAATTTTTTGGCGCTACTAAATTTGAAAATGGCTTTGAAAAAAGCAAACATTTGTTAACATATTAAAAGCCTGTTCGTCTAAACCTCTTCAGAGTATAAAACGTCAGAATAAGGGTCAGAAAGAACAAGATGGAGAGTAAATACCAATTTCTGGATCGAATTTTCCATCATGTTCTTTTGGACCCTTATTCTGACTATTCTGACGTTATATGCTCTCAGAAGTTTCATACGAAAAAGATTTGAGTATATTAAAAATTTTTGCTTTTTTCAAAGCCATTTTCAAATTAAATATGTTCTTTTCAAGGTTTTCAAAAAATCTTACAGAATTTGCTGATCAAAATTTCGTCTTCAATGAATTTTACAATAACAAAGTTAATTGACTTAACAATTAATCTTAATTTTGCTCAACTTAAAAGCGAAACTAAACTTTTTATGGAAACGTACTTTAGACAGGAGGTCAATTGATGATTGTAATCAATTTTAGTTTTATTCGAGGATTCGTTGCCTTTTGAAGGTTTCTAAGTTTTTGAAAAAAATAACTTGGGGCAGAGGGCGCACCGGGAAATTTCCCGGTGTCCCGGTGGGCCAGTCCGCTTCTGGTAATGGGCATCGTGCGTGCCTCAGTCATCTATGTAGCCAAGCGTGCAGCAGCAACTTAGTTTTACGAGGGCACTGTGGTTAACCCGATCAAAACGAAGATGGCAGTAGGGCTAAATTAATGCGATGTTTGATTCAGTTTGACAACTTTTTTAATATAGACGAAAACAGATTTCAATTATCGATTTAAAGTAACAAAGAATAAGAACCAAAATGATGGAAACAAATGACAATATCGTTTGCGCGAAAGGATTCAAGTGCATCATGTTTGAAAATGACTTTGATATTCCTCAGAAGAAAAACATTCAGAGTAATACATTTGTAAATACAAGAGTAATACATTTTTGACCCTGATTGGTTTGTCTGTAAAACTTGAATGGCTGCTAGAGTGTCGCTAGGGATAGTTCTGAAACAAGGAATCGGGGAGCGCGGAATTAGGGAACAGGGAACCCGAGAATCTCTAAAAGGGGGAACCAAGATAAATTTTGAAAATCAAGAAAACCTAGACCGACAACTTAAAGCCGTACAGAAACCACACATAACTTGATGACACAAACTTATATTTTTGTCTGGCAACAAAGGAGCATCAAAACAAATAGTGTTGCTCAGGCTAGGCGGCAAAAGAGTGGAGTGTTTCTCTAAATAAAGTCTCTAAATAAAGCAAGCTCATTCAATACTTAGAAGAAAATCATAATCCCACGTTCCTTAAGAAAAAGCTTCAAGCCATCGGCAATTTTTTTCATTGAAGATCTCTTCAGTGAAATTTCTTATAAATAATTCAAAAATGTAGGTCAAGGCTTGTGAAATCATGTGAATAAAAGCGAGTAGTTTAACAGAAATCCCAACGAAATGCGTGGCTTTACTATAAATACCTTGATTGACTACATTCATTGCCGCATGTCAGTGTGTGACAGACGACCTTGTGCATCTAAAAACAAATATTCTGCTGGAAAAATTATTTACTTCCCTGCTGGTTTTTCAAATTTCACAGTGCAAAATGACGTTGTAAATAATGGGATATGATGTTAATAACGTGGGAAGAAGTTTATAGAAATATTTCCAAAGAAAAAGCAGGACTGCTTTCGTAGTTACAACGAGGACGTTTCACAACTAAAATCAATTCGTTCTGCAAGTGTTTGGTGATAAAACTTTAAAAAATCATGTTTGTCTATTGTTTTCTAGACTGTGACAACGGCAACTGCAGTTACCCGTGAAAAGGTCAAGATTGTTAATCATAAAAACTAACTTTATCATTTCGCTAAATGTTATTTGATAACATTTGATAACATTGATATTTGATAACTGTTTGTTAATAAAACTATAGTTAATTGTGTCTGTCTATTGCTTTCTAGACAGGAAAACGGCAAGGTCAAGATTGTTAATAATAAAAATTAACTTTATCATTTCGCTAAATGTTATTTGATAACATTTGATAACATTGATATTTGATAACTGTTTGTTAATAAAACTATAGTTAATTATGTCTGTCTATTGCTTTCTTGACTGGAAAACGGCAAGGTCAAGACTGTTAAGAATACAAATTAACTTTTATAACTCTTAAAATGTTATTTGATAACAGAAATACATTTACGCATAAAATGATACTTCAGAGTAAAGATTCCAGGGCTATATATTGACCACGTGACCTGTAGCTTTCTGTCAATAGGAGAATCCATAAAAACAAATGCAATAGGACTCAGCGCTAGGCAGGGATCTTAAACTAACACGCTGCCAATTTGCTTGGCGCTGCACTGTTAAAGCATGCAGGAATGAAAGGTGATTGAGTTCGATATAGATAGATAGATAGATAGATAGATAGATAGATAGATAGATAGATAGATAGATAGATAGATAGATAGATAGATAGATAGATAGATAGATAGATAGATAGATAGATAGATAGATAGAGAGATAGATAGATAGATAGATAGATAGATAGATAGATAGATAGATAGATAGATAGATAGATAGATAGATAGATAGATAGATAGATAGATAGATAGATAGATAGATAGATAGATAGATAGATAAACTTTATTTACAGAGGATAAACCTGGTTAGCCTAATAACTAATCTTCCCCAGGGTCCTCAGGATATAAACAATAATCACCTTACGAATTATCCTATAAGAGAAAAGATGCAGCTTAGTGTTAAATTTTCCTTTGAAACATCTTCTGACGCTGGACATTAAAAAGACCAATCCTGTTCACAAACTAATGACGTCATAAATAAACTTTATAAGCATTTTATCAAATATTCATGTTCTAGTCTCGCTTGTTCTATTAACAGTACCTCAGTCAATCAGAATTGATTATCAGTGGACCATGAGTGAAACATAATTGAGTAGGATCCTTTGAGTGTCTCGTGAAGCACCGTACTTCACTCAGAAGCTGATTTACTTAGAAGCATGGCGACTTTGACTAAGCTTCCATCATCTCCACGAATAAGAAATGGGTGTGTAAAAGATGCTACATCGTTTATTGGATTTTTCCTAGACTCTCAGAATAAAGTTACGTAACTATTACGTAATCTGATATGTTAATATAGAGAAATGTTTCGGAAATTGAATTTGAAGGCATAAATGAGCTATTTCATGAGGATTTAGGAAAGTTTTTGCTCATCAAAAGACAGCAAAAAACGTCAATATGCTCAGCCAAAGAGAATCAACGGCCGAATTTTAACAACTAAACCTGTTACAAAGTAAGGTTCCAATAATTTAATAGCTAGGGGGCAATCGGAAAAATATAAATAAATTATATCTTGCAAAAGCCTTTAACGTCAGAAAAAGGTGGAAGCCTTGAGCTCTTTTTGACCTAAAATCACTGATGGCAGAGTTCAGAAAACGCTTCAAACTGTCTCTTGTATTGACATGTTTCTTCACTATGTCACTGAAGACAGTCTCAAAAACCAGCCCGTCCCTTCTTTGGATAAAGAAAGCGTTAATTTTCATCTATCCATTTTAAACTTTCATCAATCCACTTGTGAGGATTTTCCTCAGGTTTGTAACATTATTATTAGCAAAATAGATGATCGTATAATCAGGATATTTGGTCATATTTGACTCATTTACGTCAACCACGTCATTAAAAAATCCAAGTCCGAGGATGGAGCCTTGTGGAACACAAAAATAAAGTGTTGAGGTTCGGGTAGTACGTATTTGTAGTTCACTCGCGCTTTCCGATTAAAAAAGTAATTATCTAGGCAGGCTTCCTGCCGTCAATGTCATATGATGAGAGCTTCGCAACCAATTTAGAATGTAGAATGGCTTATGGTATCAAAGGCGTTTATACGACCATCAAACATAGCCCTGACAAGGCGTTTTTGGACCACATTGTTCCGGTATTATCTAGCAGTGCTGTAAATCCGGCCCACATTATATCCGGCAGTAAAAATGCAGCATTTCCGGATTTTATTTACTACACAAAATAGGGAAAAAAGGGGGATAATTGCACTCTATAAAAAGCAAAGACAAGATACAGATTATTTGCATATTTATATAAATTTGCCAAGAAGCATAACCTTTAGCGGGATGAGATCAAAAGGTTTATCTTAGACCTAGGAATTCTTCAACTGTAGTTTAATCGTTCTATTCACGTGTTCGGTTGTTTATTGGATTCTACCCTGGGTCATTGCCATCAAATAACGTGTGCAGCAAAATCGGCACGCAATTGGATGAAGATATTAGAGAAGAGAATACACTTCACTGATGACCCAATGAGGGGCATTCCAAATTAAAAAGTACCTACAGCAACAAAGAGAATGGACAGACTAACAAGAAAGGTGGTTAGCAGCAATAGAAAATCCCGGCGAAGGAATCTTCAGTTATCTACCCTTTTGCTAAGTGAGTTATGGCATTTCTCTGCGACAAATGGTCACACAGGTACAACATTTCACTGAAAAAATCTCAGACAACCAAAAACAATGAAGGACTTGATGTGAAAATTGTTGACCTTCATCGATATCATTCAACAACGGCTGAGCAGCGATCGACACTACTGAGCATATCGAGTGTGGTTGTTGTCTGTAGGCAAACGAGACAAATATTGCACCAAGGAATTATGTTGGGGATCGTTCAGCCTGGATTTCAACGAAACCTTATTTCACATTAAGGAGCAAACAAGTATAGCTGGTTCAGGATTTAAAACTACATCAACCGTAGTTACTTAAGAAATGCAAGAACTTTCTAAATCGTTGTTTGCACAAGAAGCCCCCAAAAGAGGAGTTGGAATTTTTGGATCTTTTCCAAGATTTTGAATTTTGGATTAACCCAAGAGAAATAAATCATTATTATAGACGAAAGCAAAAGAGAACCTAAGTTGTAACGTCAGAAAGGTCCTTTTTATTTACGATCTGGGCTACATAATCTAAAAATGCGATTTCAGTCAAATCGGCTAAGATATGACCAGTGTAAGACGCACAGTTTGCTAAGAAATTGCAGTGGCTTTGGCACAGTTAATAAATACCAACACAGAGCAAATTAAGTTATCTGATTCAAGCTAGGCTCTGCGCTTGTGACTAGATCTCATGTAATTTAGGGTCGATACAGCTGCCCTTTCCATTTTTAGGGAATGGTTCTCTTTAAATTCAATTAATTTAGATTCAAATTTTGTACGTAAATTCTAAAAATATAACTTTATGACGTCAGAATTGAGATACGCTTTTGTGATTTTATAAAGTTTAACCTCTACTTCAATTTTTCGTTCGCTCTTGCCTGCGCTGTTAATCACCTAATCTAATTGGCTCCTCAAAGTTCGCACTGGTTCGCACAAAGTCGCTTTGGGACTAGGATCACGACCTCCTGCCAATGCAAATGAAGTTTTTTCTCTGCGATCAAAGCGATCTCAAAATACAAATGCGCACGCTCGGTCACAGGGCGAGCGCAAACAAAAATATTGAAGTGAAGGCCGGGCTCATGTCTAGCGAAAAGCGCATATCTAGCGAAAGGTGTCTAGCAAAAAACATCTAGCGAAAATTGATAGATTTTTCGTGCCCCTCTTTTTCAGCTTAAGCGGCTTACTAATTAATTAGGCCTATATTTGAACTGTCAATTTAGCCTATCAAGAAAAATATTTCCTTCTTAAAGGTCTCTTAGTATGCAAGGAAAAACTTACTTTGACATTCCAAGAAAACTTTCTAAATCTTCCGCAGTATTCGGGTGAGGGCTGTGTGTGCGGTCTGATGACGTCAATTTACTGGCGAGGGCTGGGGTCGACTGAGAATGATGGAAATTGCTAGCCGGGGCTTTGTAATCCTTCGCAGCGGATGTTGCTTCTGACCAGCTGCGCCCTTCGGCTAATGCTATTATCTATAAAGGAACATGACAAACATGAAAAATCATTAAGACCATGTGATTTTAATGTTCCCAAAGAACACTATGTTAAACACACTAAAATTAGAAAATATTCTCAGATACTTTCCGCCACAATATTGTTTAACCGATACAACGGCAATGAAGGCATCTTTAGCTCTTTTTTTGTTTTGGTTTCCACTAGTAATAAAAGAGAATCGTGTTTTTTTGGGATAACTATCAACTGGTAACTAAACCAATTGGATACCGTATGGCGTGTAAAACAGGACGGATAAAGGTTTCAACTCTGATTGTTTTACCAAGATCTTGACAAGCTTTCTGCTACATCGAAGCTGACGGTGATATTGTAGAAAATGGGAAGAAATACTTCTGGGTGCTATTTATGATACCATGCTGGACAATATGTTGTTGGTTGAACTTATAATATCTACTTTTTAGTCTAAGTACACAATTTTTATCAGTTTTTGCTCCCGTCATTCTTGATTTTGCCAAGCCCTAACGCTTCATAAAACATGAAAACCAGTCTTTATTGATTTCCTTCTCTAGTTTGCGCTTTTTTAGACACATATCGTAAAGAACATAACTGGTCAAACACCTTGTTAATCGAACAAAAGAAAAACAAAATAATTGTTTTTTCTCGAGACCATTCAGGGTCGGTACTAGATCCCAGAGAGTACTTGCGTGTCAGAATATAAGATCTTGAGAATTTCTATAAACAATAATTTTAAACATCGACTATGACCATAGCCTGCATGCACACTCTGTTGAAAAGTTTCTCCCCGTTTCATTTTGTCAACAGAGTCTGCACGCAGGCTATTGTGACCACGGCTCTGTTATTTACTAAAACTTTGCAATATAGCCTGCTTCACTCGAACAATCTTAACCAACTTTTCCTTTACCGAAATAGAGGCAAAACTGGCAAGGGGATAGAAGTTACAATAAACATATCTGACTGAAAATTAACAATATGCAAATGAAACTGAAAACTCTATAAAAGGTCAAGAATATCAAGTAAAATTGAATGCTTTTTAGTATATAATCTAAACTCATAATGGAAAATAGCTCAATAGTGACATCGCTGAACTTATTAGCAAAGTAACTTAATATTTCTAAATGGTGGAAGAAAGGACTTGCCAATTTACTTGGAATCCAATAAATAAAGAACTGGAATATACATTGTGTTAGAAAAGGATGATAAATAATGGACTTGTAGCAAGGCGTAGAAGGTTGGAAATGGGAAAAAGTAGAGCAGCTGGAGGTCCACAAGATAAAAGAAAAGCCACGAAACAGTTTCAAGGAAGAGAAGGGGATTTTCACAAGGTAGGGTGACCTGGTAATGCTGGTGGATAAATTGCGTAAAAAGTCGAAGTCAGGCTTCAAGCTGTAGCTATAACTGTATTTTCGACAACCCAATGGCTATATCAGGCACGGCAGTGCCGAGGGGCCGTAGCCCCCTCCCGCACCTTTTCGCTAGGACAAGATATCAAGGTTATGGCACAAAAGATAATGGTGGAAAACTACGTAAGGAGCTCCCCCCTCACATTTCTAGAGTCCCCACTCAAAAATGTGCTCCGATGTCCCTGTATATGTGAATTAGCCAAAAGAAACACCATACTACAGTACGAAACAGCAGAGCTGGTTCACAAAATTGGCTGATTCCATAGAGGGTTAGCTTTACTCTACTCTACAAAATAACCTTTACTCTTGTAATTTTGCCTAAAACTGCTCGACCTCATGGTCGGTGCATCACTTCTGTAAAGAGTCTTTCAAATTGCAGAAGCTATTTTGTTCATAGATTATAAGAGCAAATAAGCACCGCGGTGTTGTTATTCACTTATTGCGCGAAAAATCTATCTCAGTTTGCGAAACTTTGTCCAATTATAGAAAACTAGCTGTCGAGAACTCCAAGTTATCGAAAACATCAAGCCGCCAACTACAGAAGATCCCCGCAACTGAAAACCTACTTCTTCAACAGTAGGGCTGTTCTTTGGTTTAGAGCTTCCGTTAATTGCGTATGGAAATCGCCTGGTATAAGCTTTTTCTTTTGCTTCTCGTCTAACAGATGCATTATAATAATGAATTTGTTCGGTGATGTCAGGCTAAAGGGGTGACTCGTGACAATAGATGATCTAATAAATACCTTTTAACATAAAAGACTACCGGTGGGTTCTTAATATTCAAGTCTCTTTTTGCGGGAATTCATCTTAAATGAGCTGTACACACTATTACATATCTTTTTTTCCTACTGTGATTACGATATAAAATGTAGAGTCCTTAAGAATATGCTTAAGAATATGAGATTTTAACAAGAACATTGCTTTCAGGAGATGAGAGATATGACCCATGGTCCCCAGAAACATGTACCTAATACCAGACGAATTCAAGTGATCACCCTTTCCATGCCCGTTGTCAAACTCACGAACACGGTACCACAACTCATCCTTCCTCCCTAGATCTTGTAAACTTTGGAAAACTCAACACTCGTTTTGCTTTTCTTACTATATTAACCTGTCTTTATTCAAAACTAAAATTAACAAGCTTGATCCTTCCTCCCTCTTCAAACACCTCCCTTCTTTCCAATTTCAGGGCTTCATTTTTGGCCCTCAGAACTTTTCCTAACATCACCAACCATAAAAGTTTTTTGAAGCCCAAAAACGGATGCTATAATTCAACCACGTATACAGCTATAATGAAAGAGCATATTGTTGGTCGGCCATTTGGCAACAGATGAGCGATGCCACCGATTGAATCATTTAGCTGGAAATTTTCAAGATATTGATTCGACCGTAGTTTAATAGCAGCATCACTGCATTTCAAATTCATTTGAGGATATGGTTAAACTGTGCGTGAATTGCTCAGTGATTAGGGTCACAGACTACGGAGCCAAGGGTCTGGGGTTCGAGTCCCTGAAAATACCAAACTTTCATCCAGGGTGAGGGGAATTACCAGGCGTTAGAATCATGAGGTGTGGTCACATTGAGGGGAAGGACCAGTATATTGCTCCATAAGCATAGCTATTAGTGTCCTAGAAACTACCTTCGGATGGTAGGTAGAAACAAATAAAAAAACAAAAAGGTAAAACTGTATGTTTTGTAAAAGGAATTGTATGGATAGGACGAGATTACTGAAAATGACGTCATGTCTGTATACTTTTAGAGGCTCAGAACAGCAAAACCAGGAAAGATGAGATTTTCTACGCAAGGTGAAAGGAACAGAGAGTAGCTTTGACACTGAGTACCTGGAAAAGAGATTTCCTTCAGGAGAAATCTGGGTATACATACTTTGTCCCTGTAAAGGGCAGCTGCTTTTGTGTTATATTTCTCATGAATTGACATTCCCTCTCTGTAATCTGGCTGATTTTTGAAGAAGTTTTTAGCCTTTCCATTTCCACCCACCTGCCAATAGAAGTTTGCAAAAAATAGTTGAAAATAGTTTTGTTATTTTACATGTATATCACTAAAGAAGCCAATTAATGATTTTCCAATGAATTATGTTTGACAAAGCGTGCATTTTATCTATTATATATTTGTAAAAATTAATCAAATTAAATGTATCTATTATAATGGACATTAAACTTAAAGGCTCCATAATTTGAAAGACTATCACCCTACAGTGATATAGAAAATCACTAAAGTGTTGTAACAGAGTCCAGATCCTTGCTACAAATTATTTCCAACAACGTCCTTATAATTAGCATAGAGTTCACCACAATGGAATCTGATAAACAAAGCCCTTCAAACATTAATCCTGTTTTGGACCAACTGTAGAGCTGTTGACATCACTTACTTTCATTTTTTCAACTTCAATATCTTTCCATTTATCCATGGTGACTGACCTTACAAAGCTACAAAACAAATACAGCATCTCTACCATCCATTCTTGAAAAAAAACAAATTTCTCAAACTTTTCAAAAACAATCTCTGATACCAGCTAACTATTTACTGGGTTCAAAATCTTGGAATAAAGTTGAATCCAAAAAAGGAAATTTGTGATTTGCTTCTTCAAAACAGAGATTTTCTTTGAAAGAGGACAGTAGGGTTAGCATGCCCCAGCAGCAGAGTGTGGCCACATTACCCACATCAAGACATTTCTGTCCAACAGCAAAGGCTGATAGATTTTACATTTTAAAATATTAAAATATTTTGCATACATTTTAAAAAAGAAAGAGACAAGAATTGTGCCTAAGGATTGGGAAATTAGAAACCAATTGTGATATCAGGATACAATTTTATACCATCCAAAAATCAAGTGAAATCAATTTGAAGGCATTAGAACAAGCTCCTATCTGCAGCACATGAAAATGCATATATTTGGTTTATGAGGTGCAAAGTAATCAATAGCTAATACAATAATAACTATGAATTTTAGTGAATGAATTGCAAAATCAAATAACAGGTATATGTATATGCAGATATCTCTAACCAAGAAACAAATAACAGAGCCCCAAATCCAGTTATCTCCCAATTCATACCTTAATGCATTACACAATTTGATCTTTCCTCCATTTGATGCCTATTGCATTTGATGTGTTAAGATCTTGAGAAGTTAGCTTAGCATAAATAGGACAAGCTTTTGCAAAGATCAATGAATAAAATAAAGCAACATGATCATTATAAATGGAAAGGTTCTTACCTTAGGTGTACACCAAGTCCTCGATGTTTTCCTGAGCAGTCTAGACAAATCCATATTCCATAGGTAACACTAACCCATTGAGGGTTGTGTCCTCCACATTCAAAACATGTCTAAAAAACAGTTTAGTTAATTAACAAAATTTTATCTGGTGCAACTTATGAGAAAGCGTGGGTGTAAAAGAGAAGATGCAGGTATCCATAATGAACAAAAGAGGCAAATGGCTGTAAGAGGGCACTAGTCATGGACAAGACGCATGGTGGCAAAGCATTCTCAGTACTTCCACTAGGTAATGATTAGCTCTTTATTTAAAAATCATACAACCTACAGCTTTTAGCATAACAATCAAGTGTGTTACAAAAAATATGGGTCCATATAGGTATATATACATTGCATTCTTCCAATCAATATGTCAGCTAGTGTTGTTGCACCTTAAACTAGAATAAATCAGACACGACAATTCAATCTGAATACCAGGATTTTTTACTGGTGTCAGGATGACCTTCAAACAGATCAACTGTGTCCACAAAATAGATTTTTTGTCACATTACATTTTGTTTAATATTTCATATTAAAAGAAAAACAAAGTGAAAGCCTTTATAATATAGGTGTTTTTATACTTTGTACGGATAAGCATTCTTCAACTTAGGCATTGGCAACTTAACAAATGTACACACATCATCATCGTGCTAATGCAAAGTAAAGTAGCTGTAAAATAGCCTTGCGGCTTCCTTATCATTTTATCAGTGGGATAAAGCAGAATTAGAGTTGATTAGATGTCTAATTCATTAAAGATAATGAAAAACTTGACAGAAATAAATTTTCATGTAGGAAATTTCTAATGAAATCCTTTCTGACTGCTTTGAAAAATAGACATAACCATGCCAGCTGGAAAATCTAATCTGATAAGAACCTTACTGATAACAGGCATGTTGATTAACACTTAATTTGGTAAAATTCAGTGTTAATTAAAACATTTAAGTTAGAAAGTCTTGTCCAGTAAAACAAGAAGGCCTGATGGAAACTTGGATGACAGCTAGAGAAAAACCCAACTTTGGTGTTTATTTAAATATAACCTTTCAATTAAATTTGTTTACATTTAATGACTAAACAAAAAGATATAACAATTTTGATCTTAAACATAGTAAATGAATTTTAAGTAGTTTTGTCTCCCTATTTAAACTGTAAAAATATTGAATTATAGCCAGACAGGGACATCAAAATATCAGTGCCTTCTATTCCATAATATTTCTTACAGACCTTGAAAGCTGATGCTCCACAATTTCTAATTACTGAAATCTCAATAAATTAAACTCTGGCAAGAAGAAATTCCTGTTTATTGGGTAATGTCATGTCCATAAGCTCAGTGTTGAAATCGGACATTTTGAGCCCAAAATCATGACTTTCGTTTTACACCACATAAAACCTCAGGGACAACATTGAACAGCTAAATGTTTCTGGTTGTAGCTTTTAGAGCTTTAAAAATTGTACAAAACCACTTAGTGATGTGGAAATAGCATAATGATTCATAATTTATGCACTGAGTTTAGCAAATCAAAAGAGCAATGTTTCATCTGAGGTCGTTCTAGAGCCACAAAATGAGACAGGGTTAGTTGCGCCAACTATATTCTGCTGCACTCAAATCAGCTGAATTTAATCAAGTTAAACATAGCTCTTCTTTTGCGCCTAACTCTTGAAAGTAATAGGTTCGGCACATGAGAAGCTCAACATTTAATCTCTAGGCCTAACATATTGCAGTCTAATTTGTTGTAAGAAATCTTGTCTTTGAGAAATGGACTGGAGAATTTTAAGGATTTTGAAATGCTTATTTATTATAAGCAAAAAAGAAGAATTGGTAAGCTAGAAATAAAATTGAAAGCATCATGTGACAGATTTTTTGAAATACTGTTTATTATAAAAAGTGCCCAGTTCCCTACTTAGAACAATCTTATATCTCTTGCCTGTCTTTATGTTTTCTTGCTCTAAGCAGCCCTGTGAAACTGAGGGCTGTACATTCAGTGTCAGAATGTATACAATCAGTTCCCAAAAAACAAACAAAACAAGAAATAAAAAAAGAAGATACACTAAAAGATGATAGTAGTTGGAAATTTAAAAATACCACCGATTATGGTCAGTGTGGGGAAAAAATGCACATGGTGATTTTTGGAGTAAAAAATGCACACCTAGTTCTACAGCGCTGTGGAGGAGTAGCCAAGAGTCTGAGATATGGCATGATAAACCAAACCTTTGATGATAGTTTCAATGAATACCAAATCCAAAAATTGTGCGCTTTTGTTTTTCATTGTGTACTTGAAAAGTGGAAGCTCCAATTCATGATCATATGGAGTTCAATTTCTCAGCTCATTGACTGCATTTCATTGACTGCTTTATGAATGGATGGCCATTTATGGTTGTTAATGGACCACATCTGGGCTACTTTGAAAATAAACAAAAAAAATTCAAAAAGTGTGAATTGTGAGGGAGGAAGGGAAAAAATTTAAAAAATGCGCACTTTTTCCCCACACTGACCATAACATTTAGCATAAAAATTATCCTCTTTCAAAGATAATTTTAACTATAAAGCTATAAAAGAGATGTGAGCAAGCAAAGTTTCAATGTCAGAGAGATAGCTGGTTTCTAGTTTTTTTAGAAATAGAAGGCCAGCATATGGGAAATATACGCTTTGAAAAGTTGGTACTTGGTAAAATTAGAGCCAGCACCACTGATCCTAAACTAAAGGGGCTAGCAGTGCAATGAAAGATTCCTCTTACCTTCTCTAGCCCCAAAAAATTTTCTGATACTGTTTTATTTATCCACTATGGTTCAATGAATTTATTTTAACCTAAAGATTCATATTTCTAAAATAACTTCAGCTGTTTGTTTTCAAAAAATGGAAAGGCCATGACCCCCCCCCCCCCCCCCGCTATCCCTGTGGCGTGGGCTCTGAAAATCCGTTACAATCTTCCAGTTGTACCTTACAGTGAGTGCTTGATGACTTGGCACACAAATCAAAACAAAAAAACTTCATCACAATTGTGTTCCCCTGCAAATTAGGAAATAAAGGTGACAGAAATTCTAAATTCATAAACTTCTTCCTGATAAAGTTGTAATACATATATTTACTGACTTTGAGAGAATGAAAAGCATCAGTTTCCATTTCTTCCTTCTCAAAAGCTCATTTTAACTACGTGGCATTGAAATAACACGAAACAGGGCATTAGCAATCGAGTCATGCGAATGGCCTAAGGCCTAATCGCCTCAACTTTGTGACAACAATTCAAAACAATGGATAAACTTACATTATTCCCATCTTTAACTTTCAGGTCTTTCAAAACTCTTCGAGTCCTTGGACTGGCCATTATTGAATTATAGAGAAGTATATTCTGATCAACTATTTTTCTGTGATTTGTGTACCAAATCTTTCCTGATAAAAAATTATCTCACCGGTGAATTTCACTACAACGCATGCGTAGATCATCTTGTGACCTTGTCTTCCGTAGGATACGTGTTCATATGACGTAATCGAAGACACCAAGGACAACATAACAGGTGGACAGTAAACTAAAATAAGAGATCGAAAACGTCGTAGAGGGAGGGAATGATACAACTTTGATTTCGTTAACGGCATCTTCATAGATTCGAGGCAGCAACATTCAAAGGCAACTTAAGACAGAAGATTTTAGATATAATAAATTTATTCCTTTAAAATTATTTTATCAACACAGGAAATTGAAGAGAAGTCCAAAGTTGTAAAAGTTGGGACTGGGCCTCCATTGTTAAGGCCAAAGATAGACCCTTTCAACAATTCGCGAAGCCCAGTACATTTACTTTTCATATTCGTATTCGGGCAAGACCCATACCCAGCCCCCCTAAAAGTTTTTCCCTCTTTACTTTAAAAATTGTAGCAATATGACAAGACGCTCTAATACAGTGGTTATGCCAAAAATACGTACAACCTTTTCTGGGAAAGGTTGGATAATAATAAAAATCATTATAATGGAAACTTTACATTTTCATTTCAATTAAAACTACAAATGCAAATCTCACTATTACAAAGGTAATTTGCAATTGGCTAGCCTGGGTTTACAAAGAAAAAGACTTTTTCAAACATAAAAATAATAATAATAATAATAATAATAATGTATGGGCAGTTTGAACATGAAATGAGTGAAGAAATAGATAAGGATCTATCTGGGTGCTACAAAGTGACCTTAAAGTTCAAACTGAGGCACTAATATTTGCTGCACAGGAACAAGCTTTAAGAACCAATTATATTAAGAATAAAATCGATAAAACCGATGAAAGCCCAATGTGTAGGTTGTGCGGGGGGAAAGGGGAGACTGTGCAACATCTGAAATGCGAATGTAAAAACCTAGCACAGCGGGAGTACAAGAGAAGGCATGACAAAATTGCTAAGCTCATACATTGGAAGTTGTGTGAGAAGTATGGATTTGAGAGGAAAGATAAGTGGTATGAACATTGCCAAGATGGAGCCAAAGAGAACGATGAAGTAAAACTAATATAGGACATAAACATCCAATGCGATGATGTTATTGAGGCTAGAAGGCCGGACTTGATACTAGCAGAGAAAAAGGCAAAATCGTGTATAATTATTGACGTTGCAGTCCCATGCAACAATAGGGTGTTTGACAAAGAAAGGGAAACAATTGAGAAGTATCAGAACTTGAAAAGGGAACTGGTAAGGCTTTGATCACTGAAAAAAGTGCAAGTTGTACCAGTAGTTGTGGGGGCAATGGGTTGTGTTAGCAAAGGCTTCAATGGATGGATTGAAAAATTAGGAATAGAAGTAGGTATCGGTTATAGTTAAAGATGTTTTAATATTTTCACACCAAGACGACTATTTTCTCTACTTTCTAGTCAAGGAAGCCAGCCTGAGCTAGATAGAATCGATACAATTTGCAACAGCTTTCTTCTCCTTTCCATTTTTTATCTGAGTTTTAAACTGGGCAAGATTTGATGACTCTTTTATTTCTCTGGACAACTTATGCCATAATTTTCCCACTAGATATAAAATAGTTTCTTTTCCAAAGATGGTAGTTCCGACTTTTGGAAGATGCATTTGGCTTCCGTTCCTCAGGCTGTATTGGGGGACGTTTAGCAATAAATTTGTCATCCATAAATGCTGGATTAAGGTTATTATGTGTCTTAAATATCTCAGTCATGAGAAGCTGTAAATTCTTTGTGTGAATTTTCACAGTATTGTTCTTTTCTAACAGTGTTGTAAATCAGAATTGTCATCTTTATAGGCGATTCGTTATGCCATCTCATGGAAATCATTTATTGTATTATAAATGCATCTCTCACAGAACATCTATATAAGAGGACAGTAGTTGAACTAAGAAAGACCTTCATAACTTGTTTTAGTTTTACAGTATCCATATACTTGCGATTCGGGATAGAGCATGTAAAGTATCGTTAAGTATATGGATACTGTAAAACTTTTGTTTAGCTCTTTTGTATAGGAATGTTACTTGCGATTTGAAGGATAAAGTCTTATCTAATATAATACCCAGTAATTTTTCTTCTGAACTCTCAGCAGTTACTTCGTTGTCAATTCTTATCGATAGGTTGGTGTTCTTTATGCTGCTGAAAAACATCAGGTGGCATTTATCTCCGTTTAATTTCATGTAATTGTCCCAGAACCATTTAGATAAAATGGTAATATCATTTTATAACTTTCTAATTGTTTCATTGTGCATATGATCACTGACATATATAGTTGTGTCATCCGCATAGTTACAAATCGACTGTCAGACACAAAAATAAATAAATCGTTAATATGAATGTTGAAAAGGAGAGGTCCGAGGACAGAACACTGAGGCACTCCATGGTTTATTTCCTTCCATTCACTATAAGATCCATTAGCTTACACACGTTGCTTTGTAGAATTCAGAAAGCCATATATGAAATTTAAAGCTTTTTTTGTGAAACCATATGCCTCTAGTTTAGCAATTAATAGATCGTGGTTTAAGCAATCGAATGCTTTGGAGAGATCTACGAAAATAGCCCTTTAGCTTTAAATCACAGCTCACAGAAAAATAGTTAATCAGAATATACTTCTCTATAATTCAATAATGCCCAATGCCTTTTTGCAGTTTTCAACAAAACGTAACAAGGCATGCTGTGTACTATGCCCTTTCCTAAAACCACAGATAAGAGGATTTAGAAAGGTATTAGCATATGGAATTAAATCAGAATTAGAATTGGAAGGCAACAGACTTTGCTGTCATTCTCTTTGCCCCAATTGACAGTATTTGCTTTACGCGAAGCTTCTCTACTAGGCAGGTATACCTCCTGAATGAACATTACTACACATCAAAGAATTTAAAGCTATTTTTGTTTCAAGTTTTTGATAATGACAGTTCATCTCTCTCTCTAGAGCAAATTTCAAAGCTGGATGGCTTAATGGCCGTAGTGTCCGCTTTAAACAGCCATGAGACGTTTAGTAACAATCATATTTAATGAGGTCTACTTGCATTTTGTCGTGTAGAGTTATAATCAAAATATGTAGAAATGTAAAGTTTATATGGAAAAATGTTGGTTATCTGCTGCTATTACTGGTACGCTTGATATCTTATTTTTGAAACCCTTATTCCAGCGCCCTAAATAAGTCAAAGGTTCCTTTCTTATACACCATCTTGGTTCTTTAGGCTGATGTATGTACATCATCTTGGTTCCCGATTGCATCTTTTTGTTTTTTTTCGCACTTTGCGCTCCATAACAATTTTCGTTTCCCTTTAGCTTTTACCTACTTTAAATTTTCTTCTTGGGAAAATTGTACATTTCAATCACATTCCTTGTAATGGTATCACCACCCCCAGAACATGGCAATGATCATATAGGCCCGTTGTGGCTGAAGTATAGGTTGAGCCAGTTCAAATCTCTTGGCTCGTTCATGTTCTTTATCATTGTACTGAAAGGATGTTGCTTAACAAGGAATATGAAATCAAACCCCGTTCAATTCCTCAAAAGATTAAAAAAAAGAAATTAAAAAACTGTATTATTGCTCTAAGTTGTCTCGCCAGAATTTCCGACATGGGGAGGCCGTGGAGCAGTAGGGCTTTAGAACCTCACCTTTTGCTAAAAATAAAAAAAATTAAACAATGAATCTCCAGTCAAGTCTCTTTTTATTTTGGTTTAAGCTCCCCTCCACTTACTTTTTGACCCCCCACACTTTTTGACCCTGAACACTCCGCGGTCCCTGGATTTATCGAAATGTTGTTTCTTGAGTACAGCGAACATTAACAAAAAGACACGACGAAAGTCAGTTCAACAGGGATAGTAAATAGATTAACCCTCGTTCTTCCGTTTCAGAAAAACGTGGTTTTTCAGTGGCGTCGTTTGATTCTCCTGACTAGGGCGGGTGGAGGCTCATCAAGAGAAAAATTTACCGACAAAAACACCACCCCACAAGCTACGCCCCGGTTTTTATTAATAAAAGATTGAGCATATGAAGAGGCGTCGGAAGGGCATGGGCAAAAGAGGGATCTGCTAAACCCTGTGTACGTCAGATTTTGGAGATAGCACGAACTACACTCTTTTTTTATAAGAACCAGTAAATTTAAGCTCAGGCTGACTGTTCATAATTTTTTCGAAAATCTGAGGCTGGATTGTTCTTAATTTGTTCTTAAATTAAGAGGGTGTAAGCAGTGCTATTGCTAGCTTTTTCGCTCTAAGGAGGTGTTCAGGCCTCATTTGCCAACAAAGTGAGTGAGACAGCCTTAATTTGCTGACAAATTTGAATATTCACCAAAAAGCACCCACATATCGCTAAAAATGCTTGATTTTGAGAAAAAACGTTGTTCAAAATTGCATTTTGCAGAAGCTCAGCCTCAGCTTGTTCTTAATTTGCTCTTAACTTTTGACCAGTTTTGAGGCTCGTGTTCTTATAAAATTGTTCTTATAAAAAAGAGAATGTGAAATGCTTTTTGTCTCATATACCTCGGGATATAAACGTCAGAATAATGATTGAAACTAATTAGGAAATTCATTCTAGACCCCGATTGAAAGTAACGTGAGAGAAAGAACGGTGCCTTTGAATTCTTTCTCTTTACACAAGTCAAAAATTCCTCTTTCGTGGACTTTCACAGCTCCCTGCCAAGGTTTTGGAAAGGAGGTATATTACAGAAAGAGGCGATTGACAGTTAATTACTGTTCCTCTATGATTGAAATATTCAGTAGAAGCTACAATGCAAATGCCTTGAGATTTGCAAGAAACAAATCACTGTAATAATGAAATTTCTTTATCTTTAGAACCCCCCTCCCCCTTTGATCCCAATTTTAGCAATGCTTAGACAGATATGGTTGTCAAATGAAAGCCGACAGTGGCGAAGTGTATTTATAGCCTAGCAGTGTTCCGTTGTATGTCTGCTTACGTAGAGTACTTAAATACATTGAAGAACACCATCTGTCTAATAACTCTGTGACGTCATTCACCGTGGAGGTCACT